CAACACTTATTATTTTTAAAGGATTTGTCTATTTATCTTTAGAAGGAAATGGAAGGAGAAAGGGAGAGAAACATCAATGTGTGGTTGCCTCTTGTGCGCCCCCTGCTGGGACCTGGCCTGCAACCCAGGCACGTGCCCTGACTGGGAATTGAACCACGATCCTTTGGTTCGCAGGCCCACACTCAATCCACTGAGCCACAACAGCCAGGGCCAACATTTACTATTTAAAAGTGTACCATTCAGTGTCACTTGGTACGTTCACAATCTAATGCAACCAGTGCCTCTCTCTAGCTCTAAAATATTTTCATCATCCCCGCAAAAAAAAACATGTACCCATCGTACCAGTACAGGTTTGTCACAGAAACAGAACCAATAGGATGCATGTCTACAGAGACTTATTTTATGGGATTGGCTCCCACAAGGATGGAGCCTGGCAAATCCAAAATCTGAAGGGCAGGAGTGAGCTTCTGTTGCAGTTCAAGTCCAAAGACAGAGTTCTACACATCAGCCTTTTGTTCTGTCCAGGCATCAGCTGATTGGATGAGGACCACCCATGCGATGGAGGGCAACTGGCTTCACTTTCATTTTTTAGAGCTGGTCTGGGGAACATGGATTCTGGGAAGATTAGGGGGTTGGGGCCAAGGATCATTTTTTAACCTAAATTGTGGATCAGGTAAGAATTTTAAAACATTACTTAGGTTAGCAGTAATGGTGGAGCTAGACAGTATTGCAACTTCTCCAGGTTGCTGTTCTTCTCCTTGAGCAGCAGTGACCACAGGACTTGGGCACCCCTGGGCGTGAGCTCCAGGTCTGGGGAGAGCCGCAGGACTGCACCCTTGGAGAGGCTGAGCCCCATCCCATCCGGGAGGACGGGACAGCCAGCATTGCAGACACATCCTCCGCCTCTGTCTGGCTTTGCATGGCTGACCCAGGACAATAAGGAAGTCTCCTCCCAATGACCCGAGGTCTGCTTGGCAGGCTGCCTGCCTGGTGCTGTGGCCCAGCAGCCACGCCCTGGGCTGTGACCCTGAGAAGTCTCAGGTCTCTCCCTCCACATCCTGATTCTCCCAACTTCTCCTCATGTGACCAGTCCCTCCCCTGTGAGGTCATGATCAGATGACTCCACATCACGAGGGACAGAGGCTAGGAGTCCCCCTCTCTCCACACAGTGCCTGTGATCCGTGCCATAAATGAATCTAAGGGTGTCCATCAGACTTAGAAAGAAATCCAGCCACCAGCCCAGACCTACCTGCTTCTTCACAAACTCAGCCTTCCACGAAGCCCCGCCCACCAACCTTCGGACAATGTAACTGTCTCTGTAGTGCATTTGCTTCTGTGGACTGAGGGGCTTTTAGTTCAGAAAGACCCGAGCCAGCTGGGCGGCAGGTGGGTGCCGAGCACAGCCCAAGGTCACAGGACACAGAGGGGCACAGAGACAGGGGCATCGTGACTGAGCAGGGTGCCACCTGCCCTGGAGATCATGAGGGGGGTGACAGAGTGTCCTCCCAGTGTGACACTCTCCTCTCTGTACATCCTCAGTAATAACATGAAGGTCTCAAGAGAGTTGTATGGTTCCCCTTCTGCACGTGGGAAACCAAAGCGTTTGCCTGAGGAAATGTGTGAGAGGGGACATTCAGGGTGTGAGGACCAGATGACAAGCCAGTGAGTGTCCCTCCCTATATGCAGTGTCCATCTGTATATGTATCTATGTATCTGAGCATCTATCTATACATGTACCTAAGTATCTATGTATCTCCCAATTTATGTAACTCTCTAGGCATATACCTAAGTACCTGTTCAACTCTGTGTATTTATGTGGCTAAGTATCTGTATCTCTATGTATGTTAGTGTGAAACTATGTATCTAAGGGTCTGTGTCAGTATCTCTACACTCACCTTTGTCTCCGTGGGACTGTTCTTTTAGGTTTTTGCCTTAGTTTTATTGTTGACACTATAACAGATGTTCTTCTGTTGCCAACTTCAATCCAGTCCCCACTCCCCCTTTTCTCTGGCTATCACGCTATGTATCAATCTATGTAACTGTAATCTATATATGAATGTATGTGTGTATGTGTATAGTGATTTGGTTTAAAAAGTCCTTATAGTTTTTTTCCTGTAAAATAGACTATTTATTTTATTTTTCATTTTCACCAGGAACTTTATTGATTTGGATATGTTGAGTATGTCGGCTATCTCCTGCCATTGGCTTCTCATGGGGAGAGGCCAAGCGTACTGCTAAACATCTTCCAGTGCATAAGACAGCCCCACAGCAAAGAATTATTTGGCCAAAATGTCAACAGTCCCAAGAAACTTGGCAAACCCCTTTTGACACATGTGACCAGTCACAACACCTTCTCCATATGCTGTGCAAATATATTTTTGCATTTCCGTTGCTTTTTTGAAATAATTCTTGAAATAATAAAGTATTATATGCCAAAAATGTTGCACATTTTCTCCCATCTTAATATAAAAATAGCTGTCCCCCAATTCACCAATTTTGATACTTTTTTTAAATGCACGTTGATATGACAGCGGTCACAATGCAATTTAACAAAATTGTTTCTAATCATGTTAAAGACAACGACAGACTTCCAGACAAGATGGAGACATAGGGGAAATACTGTACCTCCTCACGCAACCAAATTTAAAGACAACAACACAACCAAAACAGACAGAAAATTGGACCGTACCAAAATCTGACAACAACGAACCATTCGTCCAGACCAGTAAGAGGGCTGGAGTCAGCGGCCAGTGGAGAGGGGTCATATCAGGAAAAGGTGGTGGCTGGCAACCCGAGCGGGTGCAGGAATGAAAACCCAGTAAGGCTCGCAAGGCGGCTGGCTGACCTCGGACACACATTCGTGCGCAGATAAGGTTTAAAAATGAGCAGTGACAGACCATGCGACCCAGGGCCCCAGCGACAGGAAATAAAGCCTAAAAGCACCAACTGGAAAAACTTTCGGGGGTTGAGGTGCCGAGAGAGGCTCCCAGCCTCACAGGAGAGTCCACTGGGGAGACCCACAGGGTCCTAGAACACACACAAGCCCACACACCTGGGAACCAGCACCAGAAGGGCCCAATTTGCTTGTGGGAAGTGGCAGAGGGGACAGAAATCTGGCAGAGGAACAAGTGCCATCACTCCCTCTGACCCCAGCCCCACGTACAGCATCACAAACCAGCAACCTGGGTGGCCCCGCCCTGGTGAACACCTAGGCTCCGCCCCTCATACGTAACAGGTGTGAACGGACCAAAACATTATGGCTCAAGCAGAAGAACAGCTCAAAGCCCCAGAGCCCATAAATCTAAGTGACCAAGAGATAGCTAACCTATCAGGTGCACAGTTCAAAACACTGGTGATCAGGATGCGCACAGAACTGGTTGATTTTAGTTGCAAATTAGATGAAAAAATGAAGGCTACACTAAGTGAAATGAAGCAAAATGCACAGGGAACCAATAGTGATGGAAAGAAAACTGGGACTCAAATCAATGGAGTGGACCAGAAGGAAGAAAGAAACAACCAAACAGAAAAGAATGAAGAAAGAAAAATTCAGAAAAATGAGGAGAGGCTTAGGAATCTCCAGGACATCTTTAAATGTCCCAACATCCAGATTATAGGGGTACCACACAGGGAAGAGGAAGAGCAACAAGTGGAAAACTTATTTGAACAAATAATAAAGGAGAATTTCCCCAATCTGGCAAAGGCAATAGACTTCCAGGAAGTCCAGGAAGCTCAGAGAGTCCCAAAGAAGTTGGACCCAAGGAGGAACACACCAAGGCACATCATAATTACAATAACCAGGATTAAAATGAAGGAAAGAATCCTAGAAGCAGCAAGAGATAAGGGACAGTCACCTACAAAGCAGTTCCCATCAGACTGTCAGTGGATTTCTCAAAAGAGACCTTACAGGCAAGAAGGGGCTGGAAAGAGGTATTCCAAGTCATGAAATCCAAAGACCTACAACCAAGATTGCTCTATCCAGCAAAGCTTTCATTTAGAATGGAAGGGCCGATAAAGCGCTTCTCAGATAAGGTCAAATTCAAGGAGTTCATCATCACCAAGCCCTTATTTTATGAAATGTTAAAGGGACTTACCTAAGAAAAAGAAGATAAAAAACATGTCTAGTAAAATGACAGCAAACACACAATTATTAACAACCACACCTAAAACAAAAACAAAAACAAACTAAGCAAACAACTAGAACAGGAACAGAACCACAGAAATGTAGATCACATGGAGGGTTAGCAACAGGGGAGTGGGAGGAGGAGAGAGGGGGGGAAAGGTACAGAGAATAAGTAGCATAGATGGTGGGGAGAAAATAGATAGAGGGAGGGCAAAAATAGTATGGGAAATGTAGAAGCTAAAGAACTTAAGACACATGGACATGAACTAAAGGAGGGGAATGTAGGTGGGAGGGGGTGTGCAGGGTGGAGGGGAATGAAGGGGGGAAATGGGACAACTGTAATGGCATAATTAATAAAATAAAGTTTTTAAAAAAGATAACTACACACGACTAGAGCCATTGTACAGAAACAAAAAACTAAAGGTACTTTTAGCCAACCCAATATGTATCTATCTCTGAACTATCTATCAGTATCTGCATATGTAACTCTGTATCTAAGAATCTGTGTAACTAACTCTGTATGAATCTATCTATGTATCTCATTATCTGTGTGTGTACTCATGTAAGTAAATACCTATGTAAAACTATTTCTATATCCACCTATGTGTCTATGAATTTATGTACATAAGTAACTATTTATGCCTCTGTGTATCTGAGTGTCTAGGTGTCCATGTATGTATCAAATATCTATCAATTTATCATCTATCTCTGAGGATTTAATACTCTGTGGGTTTCATCAGGACATGGGCTCTGCCTAATTATGAAATATCTCACTAGAAATGCCTTCCGGAAACCAAAGCCTCTTGGAACCCAAAGAGGGGAAGCTAGAGTCTTCCATCTGGGCCTGGGAACACCCAGTCACTTCCTGCGACACCGCGGAGATGAGCCCGTGAGGAGACTCTTGGGAATCCATCCTGTGCACTTCCTGACTGGCAGGGCCCCTGTTCTCCGCCCTCCAGGACCAGGACAAAGAGGACAGTGAGAGGCTGGTCATGTCTCCCAATCCCACCACCTTCCTGGGCCTCGGTGAGTTAAAACGCAAGGGCAGGAACTCAGGGAGAAAAGGGGTGGCGTTCAGGGCGAGGTCCAGGCCCCATGTCAATCCAGCCTCTAGTGCTGAACCTACTGGGCCCAGGGACAGAGTCAGTCACGCAGACAATGACTGGTCTGTCTCACCCGCACTGAAGTCTCCAGTCAAGGGACCAGGGCCTCTAACCTGTTCTCAACTCTGAGACAGGGACAGGTCAGATACAGACAGGCCAGAGGGGGCTCTGGCTGGGAGGTGAGGGGGAACTTGTGGGGAGCCCGTGGAAGGGGAAGGAAGCTGCCCACTGGGAGTCACGTTGATGAGGGTGGTTTGGAGGTGCTGGTAGAAACGAGGTCTTCCCCCAACGGTGACCCTCATTTACAAAACTGGGCGTTGGCGTTCTTGTAACTGGCGCTTCCTTCTCTTGCAGCGCTCTGCCTGAGCCGGGCGATTCACATGCAGGAGGGTGAGTCATTTCTGCCCTCGGTCCCTCCTGACAGCAGCAAACTCCCACAGGACATCCCCCCTGATTTCTAGACGCCTGAGATCCCATAAATACTGGACCCCTGGTTCTCACTCACTCAAACCTGCCTCCTCATCCGTCCGCTCCTGTTTTCTCAGGGAAGGTCGTCAGTTCAGGACCAGAGAACCTGATCATCCTTGACTGTCCTTTTCTCACTCCCACGATTCTCCTTCCCAGTACCCTGTTGATTTCAGCCCCCATGTTCTCACCTGTCCTCACGTCCCGAATCTGAGCTCCATCTGCTTTCCCCTGCATGGCAGCTATTGGCCTGCAGGGGGCGCTCTCTGCTGGCTTTGCCCTCTTCTCTCCTGCAGGTAAATTTAGAAAAAACAAATCCGATGAGTTAACTTCCCAGCTGAAACCCTCCGCTGGTTGAACTGAGGTCTCTTATCAGATCGCTTATCAATGTATTTCCTCTGCTTGTGTCTAGCCACATCCTGCCCTGCTCTGTCTCACTCCTTTATCACCAGACAACTGGGTTTCTTTCAGTCTCTCAAACAGGCTGCACCCACGCTGCACTCAGGACTGTCTCACACCCTGACTTCTCTGCCTCCAGCACCCCGGCCCCCCGATTGCTCAGCTGAGCAGCTCCCTAGGTGTTCATGGCATTTCTGCTCAGACTTCGCTCGCCCAGATGGGGAAGGGTTTCCTTGTTATGCTCTCTCCTTATGCCTGAGGGTAGTCACCACAGGTCTGTCTGGCCTCAAGGCCTTTCTCAGAAATCTGCTTATCCCCCACATCCCTGCCTATAATAGAGAACATCTCTGTAGCTGATTTCTCTCTCTCATAATGAAGCAGTTTTCTGTAAAGTGTGGCAAGAGATAGTGTGGTGGCCCCAGTGTGTCACCAGGGAGGCAGGCTCTCTTTGTTCTGTTCCACAACCTTAGTTCAGGGCCACCAGCACAAAAGTTGCCTCTTGATGCAAGGTGGCTGCCAGGGCTCCAGCCATTGCATGTGTTTGCAAAGAAAGGCAGAAGTGGAAAAAGGTCCTCCAGGCTTAATTGCCACCTAGCGAGATAACTCCATGAGAATGTCACCATTAGGGTGACATTCTTTCATCTCATTGTCACAGATGTGGTCACACAGCTACACAGAACTAACCCCGAAGCTGCCAGGTGTTGTGTTTTGTTTCACAAGGCACTGAGTCTGGTTACAAAGTGATGGTCTGGTTCAAATGAAGATGGAGAGTACAGATGCAATGGAGGTGATGCCAGTCTCTGCCTCATTGTCCTCCTGTCCTCATAGGGAAGGAAAAGCTATTTCCTCATGATGGACCCTGAGATCTACTCTGCTTCCTCCCAGGAGACCTTCCCAAACCCTCCATCAGGGCCGAGCCAGATGTTGTGATCCGTAGGGGACAGCCTGTGACCATCGTGTGCCAGGGCCCAGCTGGGGCTGATGTGATCCGCCTGGAGTCTAGAAGATCTACTTTTAGGGATCAGAAAATTTTGTCTCAACATGGCTCACCGTGGACAGAGGCCAGATTTCTCATCCCCACAGTGAGTGAAGACACTGTTGGGCGTTACTGCTGCTACTACTGGAAAGGGTCCAGCTGGTCTGAGCGCAGTGAGCCCCTGGAGTTGAAGATGACAGACGAGGACGCCTCCAATCCACCCTCAGGTTGGCCCCAGGTGTCCCTGCACCCTGTCCCCAGCCCTGTCCTCTGTCCCAGGCTCCCTGCCCTCCTGCTGGCCCCGAGCCCTGTGGCTCCCCTGACCCCCTGCACTCATGTCCTTGGCCTTAACACCTAGACACCCTTGGACACCACAATGGCCTGGATACTGAGCCCAGCCTGAGATGGGCTGGAAGCTGTCTCCCCAGGACGGGGTGGGGAGTGGACTTCCGGATACCAGGTAGGGACAGACCCCCTTCAAGGGAATGTGTGTCCCCTTGTTCAGGATGGTATTAACTGTCCTTTTAAATGGGCCAGACACTGAGGGGCCTCAGGCCATGGTCCACCCATTTCTCTTTGACATCCCAAGGGTCAGTGTGCATGTCCAGGGTGGTCCCAATCCTCCAGACATGGGGGTGTGCTCCCCCATTTATTCTGATGCTGTGATCCATCCCTGCCCTGGAATCCGTGGGAGGCACAGTGACCTGACAGGTGGGGTCAGCCTCTAGGACCCTCTTATCCTGTGGCCGGGTGACATGTCTACCCCTCACCCTGTCTCTCTGTGGACCATTATCCTGGTCCATCCAGTTGATATGGACCATCAACTGCCTTGTGCCACTGTGTGGAGGCTGACAGGACATTCTGAGGGGTGTCCAGGCCCTCAAACATGTAGAAGCAGAGAATTCCATCCAGCTGTCCTCACATGTTCCTGTCCCCTCTCTGGGGTGTCCAGGGGCGTCCTCTGTACTGAGAGGGGCAGAGAAAGAGGCCGGGTGTGGACACTGTGGGAGCTGCAGGGCCAGGCTGAGAGGGACGGGCCCAGGAGGAACCCGGACTCGGGGCTTCTCCTGCCCCCTCACAGGAGCCCCTCCTGGGCTGGGGAGTGGGGACCTCAGCCTGGGGGACCCCTCCTTGGGGTTCTGCTGGGGAGGGGGCAGTGGACTGCCAGTGGGGAGGGGTCCTGCTTCTCTCCTGGGGGGTGGACACTCAGCAGGCAGGGACACTTTGCATCCTCTAGAGTCAGAGGCCTGTTCAGCCTGGGGGTGTGAGATCCGGGAGGGGAGACTCACCCTGGATCCCTGAGCAAGTCTGAGTTTGCACTGGGCCCTGCACTGGGTGCTGTGGTGACTGGTAGTGAAGCCTGGGGGTGCGGACCCAGGGGCCTGGAGGTGGGGAGGGCAGGGGCTGGGTGCTCCCAGGGCAGGGAGGGTCTGTGCAGGAGACAAACAGTGGTGCTTTCTCACTCCTAGGAAAATCCCAAGAAATCGCATTCCCAGTCTCAACAGTCACCCCTCCACCTACAGAAGTCCCCCTGGTACCCACAGAAGGAGGCTCCCACACAGGTAAGGCACCAGGGGAGAGTCCCCCGTGGGGGTGGTGCTCAAAGGGACAAATCCTGTCCAGTGGGGTAGAAGCTCCTGCCTCGTAGGTCCTGGACCTGGCTGGTTCTTGTCCACCTACCAGTGACCGCCTGTCCTCTGCTTCCAGCCCCCGCCTCCCAGAATTACACGGTGGGGAACTGTGTCCGCATGGGCCTGGCTGGCGTGGTGTTGCTGATCCTGGTGGGGATTCTGGCAGAGGCTGCGCACAGCTGGCACAGGTGGCCCCACGGACCACAGGGATGGACTCAAGGAAGCTCCTGACAGAGAAATTAGCCTCCAAAGCCCCCAAAGGAGCCTTGCCGGGGGCTCCAAAGACGGTGCTGGAGCCCGGGAGACCCAATGCCACTCCTGCGGTGCACTCCGAAGTGTGCCAGAGCCGGCGACCGGGCAGGACCCTCACTCTGTCCCCGGAGCACAGGGCCATGGCACTCACGTTCTTCCGAGGCTTCCAGGGTTTGCCTCCAGGCCTGACATGATCACCGACCAACCCCAGTTTTCCTGGGTCTCCCTTCTCGCCGGGTCCTAAGACAGGCCCCGGGACCCTCCACCGTCTGTCTGCTGCCCTCTTCCTTAAGTCCTCCCACCCGGTATCAGAGGCTCCAGGCCCTCAGCTCTGGACATTTCCTCTGTGTCCACACCTGTCCCCGTGGTGGTCTCAGCATCCGGGGCCTCCCACCCACGAGACTGACAAAGGCTCCACTGGGATTTCCCACCTTTCAGCTGAGTTTTCCCCCAAAACCCATCGCAGGCTTCCTCGCACATTCTGCCTCCACAGCCCCTCTCGTGCCTGCAGCTCGGCCCTGAACTCAGCCCTCTCTCTCGGACATTTGGTGCTTCTGCACCCTGCCCTCCCGCTCCCTCCCACCCACGTGCCCACCTGGGGCAACACCAATAGACACACAGAAGTGAGACTGCGCAGCTGTTGTGTTTGTCTTTGCAGAGGGCAAGCCTCAGCCCAGGGTTTCTCTGGAGGGGAGGGGAGGGGAGGGGAGGGGAGGGGAGGGGAGGGGAGGGGAGGGGAGGGGAGGGGGAGGGGAGGGGAGGGGAGGGGAGGGAGGGGAGGGGAGGGGAGGGAGGGGAGGGCCGTCATTCTCCCCTAGAAACAGAAATGTTTCCTGAGAGTCATGGTGACCACAGACCCCGGTTCCCTGCCACACATGGAGATTCTGTTGGCTGTGGCCACATCACCGTGAATCTGCAGGTTCGCCTCCTGGGTTCTTCCCCAAGGCAGAGCCCGTGGTTTGAACCTTCTGAATCTTGGAGGTGCTGGGTGACTGGGGCTCAGGAACATGAGGCACCGGGCAGGCGGGGTTGAGGCCAAGGGTCATAATGCACACGGGCCTCGGTGTCCGGAGGGGAGGGTGCACTGTCAGAGCCTGGTGCTCCCCTGTCTCCTCCTCATGGGGCCGGGCCCTCCCCTGTGGAGACATGATCACATGACTCCATGTTGTGAGGGGCAAGAGCTAGGAGTCCCCCTTCTCTCCACACAGTGCCTGTGATCTGTGCCATAAATGGACCCAGAGACGCCCACAGTGTCCAGTTAAATCGAGCCCCCGACCTGTGTGGTTCATTGCAAACAGAACCTTCCATGAAGCCCCGCCCACCAACCTTTGGACAATGTAACTGTCTCTGTAGTGCATTTGCTTCTGTGGACTGAGGGGCTTTTAGTTCAGAAAGACCTGAGCCAGCTGGGCGGCAGGTGGGTGCTGAGCACAGCCCAGGGTCACAGGACACAGAGGGGCACAGAGACGGGGGCATCGTGACTGAGCAGGGTGCCACCTGCCCTGGGGAGCATGTGGGGGGCAGAGTGAGTGTCCTTCCCCAGTGTGACACTCTCCTCTCTGCATCCCCCCAAGTAATACCATGAGGGTCTCAGGAGAGTTGTATGGTTCGCCTTCTGCATGTGGGAAACCACAGTGTTTGCATACGTGTGTTGTTGGGAACGGTCAGGCTGTGGGACCAGAAGCCAAGCCAATAAACACAGAGAAGACAGTGACAGGCTGGTGAGGGTCCCCCATCCCAGCACCCTCCTGGGCCTTGGTGAGTGGACCCCAGGGGCAGAACCCCAGGGAGTAAAGGGGTGGCATCCAGGGTGGGGTCCGGACCCCTCCTCCGTCCTGACTCTGGTCCAGGACCTCCTGGGCCCTGGGAGAGGGGCCATTCCACAGGCCCTGCCCACTCCGGGGCACCTGGGCCTGAGCCTCCAGGGGAGGGACTAGTCTCCTAACCTGACCGTGACCCTGGGAAGGGCGGGTCCCATGGAGAAAGGCCGTCAGATGTCTGGGTGGGAGGTGCCCGGGAGGGTGAGTGAAACCCACTACAGAGGGAGGAAGCTGCCCCCGGGAGTCGTGTGGATGGGGTGGTTTGGGGGTTACCATGGAGACAAAGTCTTTCCCTGCTGCACGCTGACCTTGACCCCCAGGTAAGGGGACTGAACACTGGACATTTTTACCCTGGGCCTTTCCCTGTACTGCTCTCTGCCTGGGCTGGGCATCCACCCCCAGGAGAGGAGTCATTTTTACACCTCGAATCCCTCCCACCCCAGGGGCAGCTCTGACTGGAGTCCTGTGGGTTTCAGGAGGGACTGAACCCCGGTTACAGGCAAGGAATGTCCCTCCCAAGTCTCTCCTGATGGCGCAAACACCCCCAGACATCAGCACTGGTCTCCAGACCCCTCAGAGCCAATAAATGCAAAACTGGACCCTGGTTCTCACCCAGTCCCACCTGAGTCCTCACCAGTCTGCCCCCGTTTTCTCAGTGAGGGTCACTGGTCCAGGACCAGGGAACACAGTCACCCTGGATTCTCCGCATGTCCCTCCTCATGTCCCTCCATCCCAGATCCTTGCTGGTTTCCCTCCACGTGTCCTCACATGTCCTCACATGTCCTCACGTGTACCCACATCCCTGCTGGGGACCGTTCCCCAATCTGAGCTCCCTCACTCCCGATGCACAGCAGCAACTGGGGTCCCCAGAGGACAGTCCCTGCCACCTTTGACGTGTTCTGTCCGCCAGGTGAATGTAGAGACAATGTTGGTGACTTTCCTTTCCCTCCGGAACCCTCGACTTCTGGCTGGATTGCAGCCACGTCAGGTCCCTTGTCAGTGTGTGTCCCATGCCCACGTCCACCTCCTGCCACCTCCTGTCCTGCTCTGTCCCAGTCCCTTAACGCCAGACACGGTCGGTTTCTCTTGTCTTCAGTTGACAAACGTGTATTAAAGACATTCACCCAAGGACAATGAACACAATGAGCAAGGAAGTGGGTGTTTTTTCCCCAGCTGGATACTGTCCTTGGAACAGCGGCCGAGCGTCTGGGATTTTGTCTGGGAGGCACCGTCCCTTTCGGATGCTGCCCTACACAGTCACCTGTCCTTCTGCCAATGGTCTCGTCCTGCCACTAAGAAGAGGCAGGAAGCGCTGTTTCCTTTAGAAGCAGCCCCACTGCTGCCACCTGTGGTCAGGGACAGGAATGTGGGGACACAGGAAACAGGGCCCCCAAAGCCACAGTGGGTGGTGTGTCCTGAGGAGGAAGTGCCACCAGGTGAGAGCCCCTCCCTCAGAGGAGGCTGTCCCAGAGCCCCTGCTGGCGAGGGCCCTGCTGTGTGTGGGGGTGGGGGGTCCCCCAAGTGCTGACCCATCAGGGGTCTGGCTGGGTGGGGAGGTGACAGGTCAGGCAGGAGGTGGCACTGGCAGCTGAGGACGGAGGAGCCACGGGTGTGGGTCATCAGAGGGAGAGTCGGGGGAGGTGCTTGTGCGGCAGCTGTCTGTCTGCCCAGGGAAAAGGGAAGTGTGGGCGCTTGCTGTCGGGGCACCAGGAATGTTTAGTGCGTTCACGGGGCCTGATGAGAAAGGGGAGCAGGGAGATGCCCCTTCTCTCTGTAAAAGTGACTGTCAGGAAGCATCACAGGCAAACCCCACACCTGCTATGGACCAGGTGTGTCCCTCTGCCTCACACGCCAAGGCTCACCAGAGTTCTGTCGTCTCGGCGTGATTTAGGGAATAGAGACCATCCAGCGTCCCGCCCTCCCCTCCCCAGCACCTGCGAGAGGGCCTCTAAGGTCTCCTGTCCTCAGAGTGGGTGCAGGAAGGTCTAGGTGACAAGGGGGACCTGTGAGCCCCTCTGCCAGCACCAAGCACAGACAGCACCTGAGATCTGGGGCCTCGGTCTCCACCCGGCCCTGGTGGGCACAGCCAGCGGCCTCTGCTGCAGCCCCACCAGGGTTCTGGGCCCAGTCTCAGCCCTGCTGCTGTTCCCTGGGCCCTGGGCACGGGCACAGTCTCCTGCACCCAGCAGGGCTCCAGTCTCTCCCAGCGTCACACATGTTGTCCCCAACCAGCACTCAGGACCGTGTGCATGAGAGCTTCCCCTTTGAAGCAGGACATGGATGTAGCAAGTCCCGGAACACCCCTGACCCCACACTTCCTGAGCACTGTGCCGGCTGCAGGCTCTGCCCTTCACCCTCTACCCGCTGGTGGGGCAGGTGCAGGCCTGGCCATGGGCCCCCGTGACAGCCCCCTCCTGGTCCTGGGTGAGTCGAAGGGTGTGCGTTATCAGTCCAGGACAGTCTCCTGGAAGCAAGTACCTGGCGGTGGGGACAGGTTCAGACTGAGGACCTGTTTGGGAGAGGGGATGGGGCTTCGTTGAAACTCAGAGCAAGAAGAAGGGCTGTGCTCAGAGGTGAAGCTGAGGAGGGAGCTGGACACTCTCAGGGGCTGAGTCCTGCCTCCATCAGGGCCCCTGACTGCAGCCCCGGTGGGGGGGGGGGTGGGCGCTGGGTGTTTTTCTCACCACAGCTTCTCTCCCAGTGCTCTGTCTGGGCCAGACCGTCCACACGCAGGAGGGTGAGTCTACCATTTTAAATTCCGTTTTTCATGAATGTTGTGTTTTCTGACCAAGTATTAATATTCCTTAGAGGCCTCTGGTGGCTGGTCTTCAGCTCGGACGAGACCCAGGCCCCTGTCTCTGTCTGGGTGGGTCTGTCCTCACGCTGTCTGACCCGCTGATCTGGGGAGAGGCAGCCTTTCCTTCACTTCCACACACACCCTGGTCTCGCTGGACCTGACCTCCTCCCAGGCTGACTCTCCTCCACTGGGCTGGGCTGGGTCACACTTGGCCTTTGGCTCAGCTCAGTCCCTTTCCCCTGTGTCTCCCAGACAAGGTCAGTTGTCCCCTGGCCCAAGACTCCCACACTCACGGGTGCCACCCCCGTGCGTGGCTGTGGGTTTGCACGACCCCTTCATCGGCCTCTGTGCTCCCTCTTCCTTCCAGTCAAGGAGGCAGGCGACTGTGTGTGTGAGTCTCGTGTTTGTGGGGTCAGAGGCAGATGGGGTACCTGTGAGGATGGATGGAGAGAAACTAGGGTGTGGATGTAAGAATGAGTGAGGAAGGGAGTGAGGAAGGCACTGGGCCAGTGCCTGCCTCTATGGGGCTCCAGTGACCTGGGTGCCAACTTCCCGTTTCAGGGCTATGATCCCTGTCTTCCCCCCTCCCAGCCACCCGGCACACATGGGGGTTCAGGGCCCTCAGTACTAGAACTGGGAACAGGCTGCGAGGAAGGTAGAGGATGCAGTGGGAACAGAGCTGAGTGCTGCTCAGAGGACGGCCCTGGAGACAGGAATTCCCACCCACTGGGGTCATGTGACCAATCCGGGTGGAGCTCTACCCCCCTGGCTTTCAGGGGAGCTCTGCAGCCTCCCTTGGTCCCCACAGTGTCATCCAGCTACACTTCAGTCCTGGCCCAGTCACTCCCACATCTCAGATGCCTGCTTCCCTGTCCCCACACATGACCCATCACCATCATCTTCTGTTCCCCTCCTTGTCCCCTAGAAAGTAGCCATGGGCAGAGAAACATGCCCAGGACCCCACCCTACTCTGGCTGTTCCCTTGTCACCCTGAGAAAAGCCCAACATGCGACCAGAACTCGGGGTCCTGTGTCAGGGGCATCACTCTGCAGTGATGAGGCTTCAGTCACCTGGATGGATGTGGGGGGTGGTGTTTGGGGACAGGATGGTGGGAGGTTGTAAACTGGGTTGTGGGGCTGGTTGTGTAACTCAGCACGTTTGCTAAAAGCATGGAAGGGAACCCAGAAAACAGGGAGTGTGATAACTGGTGGCTTCCTCTGAGGGACCCTGAAATCTGCTCTGCTTCCTCCCAGAGGCCCTGCCCAAACCCTCCATCAGGGCCGAGCCGGGCCCTGTAATCCCCCTGGGACAGCCTGTGACCATCGTGTGCCACAGCCCAGCCTGGGCAGAGGTGTTCCGTCTGGAGGACGAGGACAGATCTGTCCATGGGGATCAGACTGTGACTATCCCACATGACTTTAACGGGACAGAGGCCAGATTCCACATCCGCGCAGTGAGTGAGGACACCGCCAGGAGTTATTATTGTCGCTACCGCAAAGGGCACAGCTGGTCTGAGCCCAGTGAGATCCTGGAGCTGAAGGTGGCAGGTGAGGATGGCTCCACTCTACCCTCAGGTTTGCGCCAGGTCCCTGCACCCTGTCCCCAGCCCTGTCCTCTGTCCCATCTCCCTGCCCTCCTGCTGGCGCCCAGGCCTGTGGCTCCCCTGCCCCTCTGCACTCCTGTCCCTTGTCCTTCACACTCGACTCAGGGCCTTCCAAACTCGGTCCCATCTAAACACCATCGTGGTCAGGACACTGAGCCCCAGCATGTGGTGTGTGGGCAGGGAGCTGGTCTTGCAGGGTTGGAGAGAGTGGACTTCCAGGGACAGACCCCCTTCAAGGGACCTTTGGTCCTTTCACTCAGAATGGTTTTCAGCTGATTTTGTTCACTCGGGCTGACTCTGTGGGGACCCCAGGTAGTGTGTCCCCTGCAGGTGGTCCATCCACCACTGGGCAAGTCATGTGGTCCACAGGGTCCCTGACCAGGGCTAGAAGGTGGTTTCAGGACCTCTGGGATGAGGCTGTCCTTCCCACCTGTGTGGTCAGCTCCCGAGAGGTCCTGCAGTCAGAGTCTAAGTGACCAGCTCAGGGATGGTGATGAGGAGGGAGAAATTCTTCCTTCAAAACCTGGAACTGTCTCTCCCTTCGCTCTCTATGCTGCTGTGACTCAGATTCCCCTGGTCAGTGGGCAGGTGCAGTTTATCCTGACCTGTGACCCCTCACTGCCCTGGGGGACTTGGGGGACACGGTGACCTTGATAGACAGGGTTAGCCCTCAGGACCCCCTGGCCTTGTGGCCAAGTGAGGTAGCTGTCACCCACCCTGTTTGTGTCTGGACCAGGGTCCCACTGCTTTGTGCTCAAGTATGGAGAGTGACAGGACATTCTGAGGGGTGTCCTGCCCTCAGACAAGTAGACACAGAGAATTCCATTCTGCTGTCCTCACATGTCTCTGTCCCCATTCCTGGGAGTCCAGGGGGCGTCCTCTGTACTGAGAGGGGCAGAGAAAGAGGTGGGGTGTGGACGCTGTGGGAGCTGCAGGGCCAGGCTGAGAGGGACGGGCCCAGGAGGGACCTGGGCTCAGGGCTTCTCCTGCCCCCTCACAGGAGCCCCTCCTGGGCTGGGGAGTGGGGACCTCAGCCTGGGGCCTCCTCTCTGGGGGCTCTGCTGGGGAGGGGGCAGTTGGGTGACAGTGGGGAGGGGTCCTGCTTCTGTCCTGGGGGGTGGACCCTCTGCAGGCAGGGACACTTTGCATCCTCTAGAGGAAGAGGCCTGTTCAGCCTGGGGGTGTGAGATCCGGGAGGGGAGACTCACCCTGAATCCCTGAGCAAGTCTGAGTTTGCGCTGAGGCCCTGCACTGAGGTGCTGTGGTGACTGGTAGTGAAGCCTGGGGGTGCGGACCCAGGGGCCTGGAGGTGGGGAGGGCAGGGGCTGGGTGCTCCCAGGGAAGGGAGGGTCTGTGCAGGAGATGAACATCACTTCTATCAAACTCCTAGGAACAGCCCTTTCACTCACTGCCCCACCCACAGGAGCAGGCTCTCAGACAGGTAAGTCCCCAGGGGAGAGAGCCCAGAGGAAGTACTCAAAGGCACAAGTCTTGGCCAGTGGATAAGAAACTCCTGTCTCATAGGTCCTGGGCTTGGCCAGGTTATCCCACCTGTCAGTGACCCCCTGTCCTCTTCTTCCAGCCTCCGCCTCCCAGAATTACACGGTGGGGAACTATGTTCGCATCGGCCTGGCTGGCGTGGTGTTGCTGATCCTGGTGGGGATTCTGGCAGAGGCTGCACACAGCTGGCACAGGTGGCCACACAGACCACAGGGATGGACACAAGAAAGTGAACGCCAGAGAAATTAGACTCCAGGCCCCAGGAGGACCCTCCCCCAGCACCCTAGGCTCCCACTGGACCCCAGAGGACCCAGAGCCACCCCCGTTCTGTGAATTTGACAGTGCTCCAGGTGAGGCTGCCCCGTGCCTGGGACTCTGTCCTGGGAAGTGGCAGGAGCAGCAGGGACCTGCCTCCTGTGTGGTCCGTCTCCTTCTCCAGGGTTTGGCTCTGAGTCAGACACTCACCCCACTCACAGCCCAGCCCCACTGCTGCCCGGGTCTCCTCCCTTCTCTCCTGGGTCTCAGACAGGCCCCAGGTGTCTGCAGCCTCTGCCCCCTCTTCCTCTCCTGGAGCCCTGCCTTCTCACCTGCTCTCTGGGGACCAGGCACGTGCTGCTCAAGACTTTTGTCTCACCCACACCTGTCACCTGTGGGACTGCGCCTGCTCTGGGCCCCGGCCCACCCACCTGTGTTCCTGGAGTGGTGTCTGCCTCCTGCATCTGAATCCTCACTTCCCACCTGACTTGGATCAAAAGTCCAGGAAATGGACACCAGACAGAACCACAGTGAATATCACTGCAGACTCCTCAGGACGACTATGGCTGAAATAATTTCTAAATGGTGGGCACTAGACTCACTGGAGGGGTCACTTCATAATGTTTAACCCCCGTGCTGTACACTTGGAACAGTACACCGTAGTCCACTGTAACTGAAGAATAATTAAACGTACTAATGTAAAACAGCAAGTGTGCAAAGCTGTGGAGGAACGGGAGCCCCTGCGCCCCCTGGTGGGGACGCAAAGTGGTGCAGCCTCTGAGCGGATCTGCAGGCTGTTCCTCAGAACTTGACAGGGAACCTCCACCCACCCAGCAGCCCCAGTCCAGGTTCAGGACCAGGGAGGTGAGGGCAGGGACCTGGACACTTGTCCATGTGCAGGAAACAGTGACTCACAAAGGTCAAGGGCATCACAGCTCCTCAGAGGTGGAGGAGGAAGCAGACACTGGGTCCAAGTGTCACTTTCTGAGAAGGACCCACTGGCTTTGAAGACAAGGGAGGAAGGCGCCAGAGTAACAGAACATGGGGTCTCTAGACACTGGAAGACAAGGGAGGGTCGCTCCCCGGAGCCTCCAGGAGAGAAGGTTGCTGCACACACCTCAAGGTCAGCAGGTTCAGAATCCCTACCTCTTGGACCCGAAGATCACACATGGGAGGGGCGCTGTGTTCCACCAGGTCGGTGCGCATTTGTCACAGCAGCGGGCGGAGTCTCTGGAGCCTGGCCTCCGATTCTCTGGGGTCTCAGGACGCCCCCCGAGCTTCCAAAAATCGGGGCAGAGGTTTCTGACAAGCCTCTGACCTCGCCCTTGACACTTCACCCAAACTTGGCCTCCAGAGTGGGAAGCCCAGCCCGGCAGGCAGTGGGCCCTGGCGTCTGGGGGACGCAGCTTGATTCTGAGACACCATATTTGGCTGTGCTGCACCCGAGCTGGGCCCTGGTGCGGCCAGGACTTAGGACAGGAGGAGGGCCAGTCACCTGGTCTCCCGCAGAGAGGGCTGGGCAGGGACACTCCAGTCCTCCCCCCCCTCCCCCTGCACAGACCCCACTCGGGGAGGGGCGGCTCCGTCTGCTCCCCCTGGGGCCCCTCCTCTCCAGGGAAGCGCCGCCCCCTCTCTGCTCGGGTCTGAGCCAGTCCCCGGGAGGTGGGGGCTGCTCCAGGGCAGGTGCGCTGCCTGCAAGGCACCTGCGTCCCTCTGGGAGCTGGGCTTCCTCCCTGTGAGATGGCGCTCGTTCCCCAGACCTGTCCTCCGAAGGTCCTCCCCCCCACCCTCCCCCCACCGCTGTGCTTTCTGAGACATCCTCACCCTCCTTAGCTGGGCCCCGTCGCGCTGTGTAGATGGACAGGGAGTCCAGGCCCATCTGTGCTCCTGCCCTGGACCAGGGCCCCCCACCGTCTTGGGTTCTTTTAATTGGGAGCAATATTTAGAAAGCGTGTCGTGGGCTTACGTGAACTGAGGACGGCTGGGGTTTTGCTGTGTATGGACCCCTTAGTGTCAGGGAGGATGCACCGCGTCCATCCACACAGGCGTTTCCCACCTGGGGTGAGGGTACAGGTTCATTTATGTTGGACCCTTATTTGAATACCCAATTCCTAGCAAATTCATAGATTTCCATCTTTTTTGTTTTGTTTCACCATGTAGCTATTATGATTGAACATCAGTAAACTCATATTTATTTTTTTCTTTATATTTATGTCAGAGTGTGATATCTTATCTTTTATGACTTTATTGTGTCTTGAGTATGTAGAATATTTTCAGATATTAGAGGTGGAAAAAATAGTTCCCTCAGAGATGACCACTTGATTCCCTGCCCTTCCCCTTGTCCCTCCACATATCAGGGGTGAGTCTTTTTCTTAGTTTCTGGTTTGCAGAATGAAATGAATAGTATGCAAGAAATAGGTAAACAGACACAAGATCCTATTTTACCTACTTTAACTTTTTTATTTTTTGCATTTATTTTTCGAGAGAGGGTTAATGAGGGAGAAAGATAAGGAGAAACATCAATATGTGGTTGCTTCTCAAACGCCCCCTACTGGGGATGTGGCGTATAACCCAGGCTTGTGCCCTGGCTGGGATTTGAACCAGGGACCTCTTGCTGCACAGGCCGGCACCCAATCTCCTGAGCCGCACCTGACAGGGGCATGTGTATCTTCTTGATCCATTGATGGGCAGTTAGTCTGACTCTTTCACTTGGCTATGGTGAATAAATGCTGCAATAACATGGCAGGAGTTTTATCTGTTGAGTATCCTGCTTTCATTTCCTTTGCATGTACACCCAGAAGTACATTGCTGAATGCTATGATTGGTCTACATTTTTAATTTTTCAAGGATCCTCTGTACTGTTTTCCATAGTGTCAGGAACCATCACAGGTCATCCCCACGCCTGCTCTTGACATGTTGCGGCCTTTCTGCCTTAAACACTAGGCTCACCACAGTGCTGTTATCTGGGCATCATTTAGAGAACAGAGACCGTCCAGTATCCCACCCTCCCCTCCCAGCACTCAGGAGAGGGCTGCTAAGGGCTCTTGTGTCCAAAGTGGGTGCAGGAAGTTCTAGGAGACACAGTGAACCTGGGGCCCGTGAACATCAGGAGAGGCCTCAGGCCCAGCATGGTTCTCTCCTGCCACACGGAATGCAGCCCAGACAGTCCCCAGATCCAGGACACCACATGGGGTGTGATTTCAGAGCCTCTTCCCTCCTCACGTTCCCATAAAGGCAGCATGGGCTGCAATGGGATGGGAGAACCAGCAGCTCCTCAGAAAACAAAAGACCTCACGCCTCACGACAGCTTGAACTCTCAACGCTGCTTTAGTCCTGTAAGAACAGTGTTGGAGCTCAGCCTCCAGACTCCCTCCCAAAGAGGACGGAGGCCGGGAAGAAAGAGGAAGCAGCTGGGGGCCGTCCCCCAACTAAAGGGGAGAAAAGTGAACACCGCCCATCACTTCCCCTTCCCCAAACCAGTCCCCGGATCGCTGCATAACTGTGACCTTCTGCATCTTGTTAAATTAAAAACATTTACTTTAGCTAAACATCAACCAGGAACTGGAGGGATGATGTGTATAAATACACGTTTATTGATCTCCCCTTGCTTTTCATGCTCAGTGAGGACAGAAAGCACAGGTTCGCCATGGGGCAGGGCTGCCAAGGGGGCAGAATGAGTTGTTGGGGAGGATGTGGGAATTGTCTGGACACTTCCTCATGTCCTGGTCCATCTGCTCCATCCGTGGGAAAACCAGGGAGGCCCTGACTGGTGTAGCTCAGTGAGATGGGTGTCTTCCCACAAACCAGAGCATCTCAAGTTCAATTCCTGGTCAGGGCTCATGCTACCTTGAAGGCTGGGTCCCCGTTTGTGGGCATGTAGTAGGCAAATGACTCGTGTTTCTGTCACACATCGATGTTTCTCTCCCTCTCTCCTCCCCTATCCCTCTGTCTAAAGATAGATACAATCTTTAATAAGACCCACAAACAAACAGGAACAGAGAGGACATTGCCAAAGTACAAGTCCTGGCCCCACTTGCTGACCTAAAAGTCTAGCTGGTGTTTAACCTCAAGGGACCCTGAGGTCACCATGAAGCTGAGACCAAAGCTTCAGGAAGAAGATAATTCCCTAGAGAGAGCTCTGTGGTCCTGCAGACAGGCCACCTAGTGACCCCGTTGCTGCTGGGTGAGCCCCGCACATGGGGGCCATCTGCCTCACTGGGGGCAGCACCCACCAGTCTCTGTCAGTTTCTCACACATGACGTACCCAACTCTGATTGAGGAAGGTCTGGAATTAGCCCTTCCTCTTTGCATGAGGACATTGATGTAGCAAACCTGGAACACCCCTGACCCCACACACCCTGGCCCACTGTACCAGCTGCAGGCTCTGTCCTCCACTCTCCAGCTTCCAGACGGTGCAGGCTGCAGGGCTGGCCATGGGCCTCCATCCCAGCTCCCTCCTGGTCCTCGGTGAGTGCTGGAATGGAGGGATAACATCCCCGGAGAGAGTGGGGGGACCCTGGGGAAGTGTCTTCATTTCCGTTGAGTCCTGACTCCAGCTCAGGAGACTCCCGGTCCCTCCTGCTGGTCTGATCCTTCAGCTCTGGCCTGACCCAAGTCTGAGCATGGAAGGTTGGGTCCCAGAATTGGGTACCTGGGAGTGGGACAGGTTCAGACTGAGGACCTGTTTGGGAGAGGGGACTGGGGCTTCACTGAAACTCAGAGCAAGAAGAAGGGCTGTGCTCAGAGGTAAAGCTGAGGAGCGAGCTGGACACTCTTGGACCCTGAGCCCGGCCTCCATCTGGGCCCCTGACTGCAGCCCCGGGGGGGAGGCCAGGTACTGGGTGTTTGTCTTACAATAGCTTCTCTTCCAGTTCTCTGCCTGGGCCAGACCGTCCACATGCAGAACAGTAAGTCTACCTTATAAACTCAATTGTTTTTATATATGTTGTGTTTTCTGACAAAGTATTAACATTCCTTAGAGTGCTCTGATGGCTCATCTTCAGCTCTGATGACACCCAGGCTGTTCTGTCTGTATCTGGATGGGTCTGTTCTCACGCTGTCTGAACCACTGATCTGCGGAGATGCGACCTTTCCTTTCACTTCCTCAAACACCTACTGGCTTCACCCCGTCCCCTCCCTGGCTGACATCCCCTCTCACTGGGCTTGGCAGTTCTCACTTGGCCTTGGGGTCTCAGCTACTGAGCTGAGCCTCTCAGAGGAGGTCAGTGGTCAGTGATCTGCCCCGAGACTCCCACACTCCAGGGGGTGCCTGTCACCCACCGCGCGTGGCTGTGGGTTTGCACGGCGCCTTCATCGGCCTCTGTGCTCCCTCTTCCTTCCAGTCAAGGAGGCAGGTGACTGTGTGTGTGAGTCTCGTGTTTGTGGGGTCAGAGGCAGATGGGGCGCCTCTGTAGATGGAGAGGAACTGGGATGTGGATGAGAGAATGAGCCAGGGAGTGACCGAGTGAAATGAGCGCCCACGAGAGGGGGGGGGCGCGGGCGGCTCGTGGATGGATGTGGGGGGTGGTGTTTGGGGACAGGATGGTGGGAGGTTGTAAACTGGGTTGTGGGGCTGGTTGTAGAACTCTGCACATTTGCTAAAAGCATGGAAGGGAACCCAGAAAACTGAGGGTTCACAGTTCCGAGGGACTGTGAGGTGTGGTCACTTCCTCTCTGGGACCCCGAGAACTGCTCTACTTCCTTCCAGGGGCCCTGCCCAGACCCTCGATCTCGGTCGAACGGGATCCCGTGATGTGCCAGGGACGGCCTGCCACCATCGTGTGCCGGGGTCCAGCCTGGGCGGACACATTCCGTCTGGTGGAGAAGGGGAGAGCGTCTGCTTACAGGGAGGAGAAATTCCCTTCTCAACATGGCTCAGAGTGGGCAGAGGCCAGGTTCTGCATCGAGGCAGTGAGTGGCGTCACGGCCAGGACTTATTTCTGCTTCTACAGTAAAGGGTTCAGCTGGTCTGAGTTCAGCGAGCCCCTGGAGCTGACGGTGACAGAAAAGGATGTCTTCCCTCCACCCTCAGGTTTGCCCCAGGTCCCTGCACCCTGTCCCCAGCCCTGTCCTCTGTCCCATCTCCCTGCTCTCCAGCTGGCGCCCAGCCCTGTGGCTCCCCTGCCCCTCTACACTCCTGTCCCTTGTCCTTCACACATGACTCAGGGCCTTCCAAACTCGGTCGCATCTAAACACCATCGTGGTCTGGACACTGAGCCCCAGCATGTGGTGTATGGGCAGGGAGCTGGTCTTGCAGGGTTGGAGAGAGTGGACTTCCAGGGACAGACCCCCTTCAAGGGACCTTTGGCCCTTTCACTCAGAATGGTTTTCAGCCGATTTTGTTCACTCGGGCTGACTCTGTGGGGACCCCAGGTACTGTGTCCCCTGCGGGTGGTCCATCCACCACTGGGCAAGGCATGTGGTCCACAGGGTCCCTGACCAGGGCTAGAAGATGCTTTCAGGACCTCTGGGATGAGGCTGTCCTTCCCATCTCTGTGGTCATCTCCTGAGATGTACTGCAGTCAGGGTTTCAATGACCCACTTAGGAAGTGCGATGAGGAGGGAGGAAGTCTTCCTTCAAAACCTGGAACTGTCTCTCCCTTTACTCTCTATGCTGCTGTGACTCAGACTCCCCTGGTCAGTGGGCAGGTCTAGTGTATCCTGACCTGTGACCCCTCACTGCCCTGGAGGCCTGTGGGGGACACGGTGACCTTGCCAGGTGCGGCCAGCCTTCAGGACCTCCCGGCCATGTGGCCAGGTGACGTGGGTCTCACCCACCTATTTGTCTGTGAGCCAGGGTCCCACTGCTTTGTGCTCAAGTATGGAGAGTGACAGGACATTCTGAGGGGTGTCCTGCCCTCAGACAAGTAGACACAGAGAATTCCATTCTGCTGTGCTCACATGTCCCTGTCCCCTCTCTGGGGAGATCAGAGGGTGTCCTCTGTACTTACTGAGAGCGGCAGAGAAAGAGGCTGGGTGTGGACGCTGTGGGAGCTGCAGGGCCAGGCTGAGAGGGACGGGCCCAGGAGGGACCCAGGCTCAGGGCTTCTCCTGCCCCCTCACAGGAGCTCCTCCTGGGCTGGGGAGTGGGGACCTCAGCCTGGGGCCTCCTCTCTGGGGGCTCTGCTGGGGAGGGGGCAGTAGACTGGCAGTGGGGAGGGGTCCTGCTTCTCTCCTGGGGGGTGGACCCTCTGCAGGCAGGGACACTTTGCATCCTCTAGAGTCAGAGGCCTGTTCAGCCTGGGGGTGTGAGATCCGGGAGGGGAGACTCACCCTGGATCCCTGAGCAAGTCTGAGTTTGCACTGGGCCCTGCACTGGGTGCTGTGGTGACTGGTAGTGAAGCCTGGGGGTGCGGACCCAGGGGCCTGGAGGTGGGGAGGGCAGGGGCTGGGTGCTCCCAGGGAAGGGAGGGTCTGTGCAGGAGACAAACACTGGTGCTTTCTCAGTCCCAGGAACAGCCTCTGAAGTCACCCCTCCACCCACAGAAGTCACTCTGGTACCCACTGAAGTCTCCCTGGTACCCACAGGACCAGTCTCCCAGACAGGTAAGTCACCTGGGAGCATGTCCAGGGCAGTGCTGGAAGGGATGGGCCTGCCCAATAAAGAAGGAGCTCCTGTCTCACAGGCCCAGGGATTGGCTGATTCTTGTCCACCTGTCACTGACCCCCTGTCCTCTGCTTCCAGCCCCCGCCTCCCAGAATTACACGGTGGGGAACTGTGTCCGCATGGGCCTGGCTGGCGTGGTGTTGCTGATCCTGGTGGGGATTCTGGCAGAGGCTGGGCACAGCCGGCACAGGTGGCCACACAGACCACAGGAGTGGACACAAGTGAGCTCCTGCCAGAGAAATTAGACTCCAAACCCCCAGGAGGGGCCTCCCCTGGGGCTGGAGACTCACACTGGAGCCCAAGAGACGCTGAGCCACCCCTCCTGCATCTGTCCCCTAGGTCTCAGATGACTTGGATCTAAAGTCCAGGGAAGGGACTTGACCAAAATCACAGTGCATATCACTGCACATTCCTCACGACGACTATGGCTGAAATTATTTTTAAATGGTGGGCACTAGACTCACTGGGGGTGGGTAACTTCCTAAGTTATGTAAATGTCTAACCCCCGTGCTGTACACTTGGAATAGTACACTGTGTGTCCACTGTAACTGAAGAATAATTAAACGTACTAATGTAAAAACAGCAAGTGTGCAAGGCTGTGGAGGAACTGGAGCCCCGGGGCCCCCTGGTGGGGACGCAAAGTGGTGCAGGCTCTGAGCGGATCTGCAGGCTGTTCCTCAGAACTTGACAGGGAACCTCCATCCACCCAGCAGCCCCAGTCCGGGTTCAGGGGCAGGGCGGTGAGGGCAGGGACCTGGACACTTGTCCATGTGCCTACAGGAAACAGTGACTCACAAAGGTCAAGGGCATCACAGGCTCCTCAGCGGTGGAGGAGGAAGCAGACACTGGGTCCAAGTGTCACTTTCTGAGAAGGACCCACTGGCTTTGAAGACAAGGGAGGAAGGGGCCCCGTGTCACAGAACACGGGGTCTCTAGACGCTGGAAGACAAGGGAGGGTCGCTCCCCGGAGCCTCCAGGAGAGAAGGCTGCCCTGCACACACCTCAAGGTCAGCAGGTTCAGAATCCCTACCTCTTGGACCCGGAGATCACACATGGGAGGGGCGCTGTGTTCCACCAGGTCGGTGCGCATTTGTCACAGCAGCGGGCGGAGTGTCAGGAGCCTGGACTCCGTGTCTCTGGGGTCTCAGGAGGCCCCCCTCACCCCGAGCTTCCAAAAATCGGGGCAGAGGTTTCTGACAAGCCTCTGACCTCGCCCCTGACACTTCACCCAAACTCGGCCACCAGAGTCGGAAGCCCAGCGGGTCACGCAGTAGGCTCCGTTGTCGGGGGGGTCACAGCTGGACTCACGCTGGGTCTGGGTGCAGCAGGGTCTCAGAACAGGAGGCGGGCCAGTCACCTGGTCTCCTGCAGAGCGGGGCTGGGCAGGGATAGTCCCGCCCTCCCCTGTCCCCAGACGGACCTCACTGATGGGGGAAGGGGCGGCTCCCTCTGCTCCCGCTGGGGCCCCTCCTCTCCAGGGAAGCGCCGCCCCCTCTCTGCTCGGGTCTGAGCCAGTCTCGGGGAGGTGGGGGCTGCTCTAGGGCAGGTGCACTGCCTTCAAGGTGTCTGCGTCCTGCTTGGGAGCTGGGTCCCCTCCCTGTGAGATGGCGCTCGTTCCCCAGACCTGTCCTCGGAAGGTCCTTTCCCGCTCATCTTTCTGAGACATCCTCGCTCTCCTTAGCTGGGCCCTTTGTAGAATGACAGGGATCCTGGGCCCATCTGTGCTCCTGCCCTGAACCAGAGCCCCCTAGTTCTTGGGTCCCCTTTATGGACAGCATGACCTGGGCTTACATGAACTGAGGACGGCTGGGGTTTTGCTGTGTATGGACCCCTTAGTGTCAGGGAGGACGCACCGTGTCCATCCACACAGGTGTTTCCCACCTGGGGTGAGGGTACAGGTTCATTTATGTTGGACCCTCATTTGAAATGCAATTCCTAGAAAATTCATAGACTTCCTCTTTTGTTTGTTTCATCGTGTAGCTGTGGTGATTGAATATCAATAACTGGTGTTTACTTTTACTAGCTTATATTCATGTCAGAGTGTGTTTTTTCATCTTTTTGACTTCATGGTGTCTTGAATATGTAGGATATTTTAAGGTTCCTGAAGTTCCAGCCTCATAGAATGGTACACCCAGAGATGGACACTTGAGTCTCTCCCCTACACTCTTTACCCCCACATATCGGAAGTATGCGTGGGGTAAACTAACAACCTATGTTTGATAGTTTCTGGTTTTCAGAAAGAAAAAAATAGCATGTGAGAAGCACGTAAACAGACACATAATCTTATTTTATCTACTTCCTCATTTTTAGAGATTTTATTTATTTATTTTTAGAGAGACAGGAAGGGAAGGAAAAAGAGATAAACATCAATGTGTGGTTGCCTCTCCCACGCCCCCTACTGGGGACCTGGCCTGCAACCCAGGCATGTGCCATGACTGGGAATCGAACTGGCAACCCTTTGGTTCACGAGTGGGCACTCAATCCACTGAGCTACACCTTCCAGGGCACAGATTTTATTTTTAAACATATGCACCTTAACACTTAGTTGGTTTTTCCTCAACTCTGTAAAGGGTTCGATTATTTATCTCTTGCACTGTTACTAGGTTTCATTTTCACTTCTTTCCTTCTAACTTATAATACATGTGCTTTGTCCTAATTCTGGTCTCCAAGTATCTTTTTTTTTTAAACTTTTTATACTTTAATTCAGTATCAATAGGTTAAGAAAGTAAAATTTTCCTGAGTACTGATTTGCAGATGTTTAGAAGTGGTACACAAGAGACAACTAAATATTAGCAACAGAAAACACAGCCAGAACACGGGAAAATTGAACTTTTTGGAAGTCCGTTAACAACAAATTCCTCAGCCTGACTGGTAAGGGGCGAAACCAGCGGCTGGTGAAACAGGGTTGCACAGGAAAACTCGGTCCGACGGACTCAAGCACGCGGAATCCATACGCGTGGAATCCAGGCGCAGGGGTGGACCTAGTGAGCAACCGAGTGAGCGACCAGGCGAGCGACCACGGGGGAGACAGTGGGGAGCGGTGCTGCGTGTTGACTGTGGTCGCGCATTTATGCGCGGGCGGACAGGCAAGGGAGTGGGCGGTTGGACCGGGGCCGGACGGGTCCCCGCGGCAAGCGGCAGAGGAGGGCGCCGCCATTTCCCTGCTCTGACCCCACCTCCACATACACCGTCATAACCCAGCGACTCTGAGTGGCCCGGCCCAGGCGAACCACCTAAGGTGCTAATCCTCACCCAGCTGTGAGAAACAGCAGAGGGGGTCGCCATTTCCCCGCTCTGGCCACGCCCCCACATACAGCGTCACAACCCAGCGACCTGGGAGTCCAAGGCACTGCTTCTCACACTTAAAGGGCCAGAACAGACCAAAAATGTCGCAAGAATATCTCAAAGCCCCAGAGCCCATAGATCTAAGAGATGAAGAAATAGCAAAACTCTCAGACGCACAGTTTAAAACACTGGTCATCAGGACCCTCACAGAACTGGTTGATTATAGCCACAAATTAGACAAATATATGAAGGCGAAACTAATTGAAATGAATGGAATTGCACAGGACACCAATAGCAATGAAAAGGAAACTGGGACTCAAATCAATGGAGTGGACCAGAAGAAAGCAAATAATGGCCAAACAGAAAAGAGTCAAGAAGCAAGAATTCAAAGAAATGAGGAGAGTCTTAGGAACCTCCAGGACATCTTTAAACGCTCCAACATCCGAATTATAGGGGTACCAGAAGGGGGAAAGGAACAGCCACCAGTGGAAAACTTATTTGAATAAATCATAAAGGAGAATTTCCTCAATCTGGCAAAGGAAATAGACTTCCAGGAAATCCAGGAAGCTCAGAGAATACCAAAGAAGTTGGACCCAAGAAGGAACACACCAAGGCACATCATAATTACATTAGCCAAAATTAAAATGAAGGAGAGAATCCTAGAAGCAGCAAGAGCTAAGGGGACAGTCACCTACAAAGGAGTCCCCATCAGACTGTCAGCTGATTTCTCAAAAGAGACCTTACAGGCAAGAAGGGGCTGGAAAGAGGTATTCCAAGTCATGAAATCTAAAGACCTACAACCAAGATTGCTCTATCCAGCAAAACTTTCATTTAGAATGGAAGGACAGAAAAAGTGCTTCTCAGATAAGATCAAATTCAAGGAGTTCATCATCACCAAGCCCTTATTATATGAAATGTTAAAGGGACTTATCTAAGAAAAGAAAAGTTAAAGAAACATGAACAGTGAAAGGACAACAAACACAGTTATTAACAACCACACCTAAAACAAAAGCAAACTAAAAGGACAGCTAGATCAGGAGTGGAAACATAGAAATGAAGATCTCAAGGAGGGTTAGCAACAGGGGGAGTGGGAGGAGGAGATGGGGGGGAGAAGGTACAGAAAATAAGTAGCATAGACAGTAGATAGAAAATAGATGGGGGGAGGGCAAGAATAGCATGGGAAGTATAGAATCTAAAGGACTTGAGACACATGGTCATAAACTAAAGGGGGGGTAATGGTGGTGATGGGGGGTAGGGTAGGGTGGAGGGGAATGAAAGGGGGAATAGAGCAACTGTAACAGCATAATCAATAAAAAAATTTTTAAAAAAAGAAGTGGTACACAAGACATTAGTTTCACAAAGAGTAATATTCACTGATATCTCTAAATGCAATTTTAATCTTTATGTTAAGCTAAATACAATAATAATTTAGTACAATAAGCCAAATACACACAAAACCTGTATATCCTGATCTACAAAAGTGGTTTCCATAGCTATATATGGTTTTAGCCGAGTACACATTTCTGCAATGAACAAGTACTAACAAATGTTCATAAAACACTACCCGAACACTATCCTGCTGTCGGCTTTTTAAGCAATGCCATTCCTGTTACTGAAAGCCTTTATTTTTATTTACAAGGGAAATCTGACCTGGGAAAATGAGTCCTCTTAAAACTTGACAAATAGTATGTTATATGCCCGAGAAGAGAGGTTTTAAATCAAAAAGTCTTCAACACAGCATTCACGAAACTTTTAGTTGCTCCTTCCTGCAAATCACTCCTTATCAAAAAGAAATATTAAAACAAATTATTACCTTAAGACAGATGGTATTTTCTTCTACTATCTCCTTAAAAGAAACACAAATCATCTCACTGTCTTTTAATAAGCCCTCAGACTACTGTAGTCTAAAAACATTACAGTGTGGCTGTCATGTCTTAGTTCTCAGAAAGGCAAAGGTGCCGTTTAGACCTCATGTGTTAAGCTGCATGGCCACCAATGGCTCAAATCCACCTAATACATGAACACCGCCTCACTGGTCAGAGAGCCAAAAGTCAGGTCTGCACGGTCTGCAAGGTCCTTCAATTACACATGGTCATTAAAACCCAGTAAGTGATTCAGGTGCGGCAGTATCACGGCAGGCAGTTACAGGCTCAGCTATCACCCCAAAATCAAAGGCATAAAAACAAAGGTGGGAAACTCTGTCCTTTTCCATCTTTCACTAAAACGGTTAGTTGTCAGGACCTTACTATGTCCTGCAAATTTCCTTGGATCCTTTTGAATCAAGAAGATGATATCTTCAACTTCTACCCACCCTTGTCTTCCAACTGACATTGCCTTGTGAGTCATTTCAGTGATGAATTCTATAACAAGGTCTTCAAGAATATCCACCGATTCAGTATAAGGATTCTGGTCATCCCCAAACCTATACATCATACATTGTAGTTCTTTAGAAAAAAGTCTCTTTTACCCTGTCCACCTTCTGCACCTCCTCCAATTTCTTCATTTTATTCCTCAAAAGTAGCATCCTCTTCCTCATCCGCCATCCCACCAGCCAGCTACAGACTGGACCTGCCTTGCTCCAAGTGGTCTCCAAGTATCTTGAATCTCCACTTCTGGTCTCTGTGCACTTCATTCTGGAAATTTCTTCAACATCATACTCTGTTTTCATCAATGTTTCTTCAGCTGAGTCTAGTCCTTGATGGGTTTAATGTTTTGAATGTGTTCATTCTGTTGTGTTGTTCACCTCTAAAATTTCTAAATCTTCTCAATCATCTCCTATTCTTCTGTAATATAATCCACACTATTGCCTGAAACATTTAATATCCCTCTGTATTTTTACAGATATTTAAACATGCTTAAGTTAAATTTCCTCTCATGTTTCCTACTGGCTTTCTTTCATTTCGTGTGACAGTTCCCAGTGTCAGTAGACAGTGTCCACAGCTCTGTCTGTCACCATTAGGATTTCTCCACTGTCCACTCTTGTAGGAGCTTCTCCCCTCACACACCTGGCCCCCCCTGGGTTCTCCAGGGCTGTCCTGGGAGTCGGGCTGACCAGAGCTCCAGTGGGCACTGCCCCTGCCCCATGGCGTCCACTCCCTCAGACTCAGCACCTGCTGAGCATTGTATTAGGCAGGGATGGGTAATGCTGACCTCATGCTCACATGGGGGACACCCAGTCACATCATTAAAAAAATAGCAAAAAAATCTATTTCACACACACACACGGGGGGGGATGACTCAGGGCGAACGTGTCAGTGAGCAGAGCCAACCCTGTGCCTGCCCCCCTCATGTGAGAACCTGGGGTCCCTGCCCCCCCCTGCCTACAGGAGTGGGAGTTTCCATCCTACGACCCCGCTGGCTCCGGGCACTGGCTGCTACTCAGCTTTGTTCTCTATTCTTTCTGTTCTTTCTTGTGGTTTCCTGACTATCTGGGGAACTTTCACTTCTCTTTTCCAGAAAGTGACTACTTCTTCCTGTTTCAGAAGTGTCGTAAGTAGCACTTCAGGTATTTGAAGCAGACCGGGGCTCTGAGGTGGACACGGTACATGTTTCTCTGCACTGTGGAGGCTGAAGCCGGGAGCCTCTCCTGTCTGCACCTGGTCTGCCGGGGAACCGTGACCCAGACCTTCCCCAGAACCAGGAACCAGGACACTGGCAGCTGCTCTGAGGAGAGGAATTTGCGACAGCATGACCCAAACAAGGAAACAGACAAGAGATTATTATCTGGGCCTCCCAGGCAGCAGATGAGAGGTGAATATTTACACAACGGTCATCTTTTGCTTAAAAAAAAAAAAAGAGCCTCGAATGCCCTGGCGGGGTAGCTCAGTTGGTTAGAGCATTATCCCAATAAGTCAAGGTTGCGGGTTCAATCCCTGGTCAGGGATCCAACAAGAAGTGACCAATGAATGCATCAATAAGTGGAACAACAAATCAATTTCTCTCTCTCTCTCTCTCTCCTTCTCTCTCCCTTTCTCAACAGGTCCCCCAGCCCCACCCACACTGAAATCAATAGATAAATTAAACATTTTGAGAAGAAACCTCTAACCCAGATAAAAGGCCCCTAAAGCTCACATGCAGGGTCACAGGAAGAGGAAGAGAACTCTGCCTGAGGCACAAGGGACACTGAGCAGCCAGATGACTCAGAGGCTTGTTTCCAGGACGGTGAGGTAGACAGTATTGGAAAAAAAAAGAAGAAAAAAGGCAGACAGAGAGAGAGAAAAGACAGTTCATGAATGGAGTTGGGATAGAAAGAACACCACACTCTGGGGTCAGGGAAAGGGGCGTGAGTCCTTCCCTCACTTCCCCGTGTCTGTCCTTTGTGCTCATTGTCACAATGACACTCGCCTGTACTGCACAGTGAGGAGGGGACCGTGTCTCTGCTGAGCTGAGCTCTGCAGGCACAGGGACCCCTGTCTTCCGGACTCATCTCCAGGGCCTGGTGGCCACTGTGCATGGGGAGGGCCCACAGGGAGGGTGTGATGGCCGAGTGGAGGCGGAAGGAGACCCCGTGGGTGAAGGGGACCCCGTGGGGGAACCTCTGACCTGGAAGGACATGCCCTGGGTCACTCACCTGCAAGGGGCGTCTCAGGATGCTCTGGAGCAGTTTGCTGCTCGATCCTGGAAACAAAAACCAGGCTTCTGGGAAGATGCTGTTCCTCTTCTTGAGGGGCTGCTGACGTGACAACCCTGTGACAAGTAGGGCCAGCCTCCCAGTGGCCACACCCTGTGAGTCTGTCTATACTGAGGACTCCTTGGTCTCTTCCTTCTGCACAGCTGAGTTCAGAGACAAGACACCATGCCTCCCACCCTCACCGCCCTCACGGCCCTTCTCTGCCTGGGTGAGATGTGAGGGGGAGGGGAAGCCCTGCTCTGTCAGGACCCCAGGGCTTGGGAGGTTCCCAGGGAAGAGGGGTCTGCTCAGGACTCAGGGCAGATCTCTCACAGGGACTCTCTTGCAGGGCTGAGCCTGGGCCTGAGGACCCCAGTGCAGGCAGGTGAGTCTGTCCCCAGGGATCCCAGGTGTCATTGCTCCCTGGGGACCAGTCCTTGGGAAGTTGGGGATGAAGAACAGCATTTCTGGCATCCCAGGTGAAGGACATCTGAGATGTTGGGGGCTGAGAGCTGGGCACTGGGAGGAGGAAATGTTCTGACCCAGCCTCTGATTCCTTCCAGGGACCCTCCCCAAACCCACCCTCTGGGCTGAGCCAGGCTCTGTGATCCCCTGGGGGAGCCCTGTGACCATCTGGTGTCAGGGGGTCCTGAAGGCCCAGGAGTTTCGTCTGGATAAAGAGGGAAGTGTGAAACCCTGGGACAGACAGAAGCTACTGGCTCCTGGGAACGAGGCCAAGTTCTCCATCACACAGATGACAGAGCTATATGCAGCGATATATGACTGTTACTATTTCAGCCAAGGTGTCTGGTCAGAGCACAGTGACCCCCTGGAGCTGGTGGTGACAGGTAAGAGGACACTCAGGGATCCCAACTTCAGGCTCTGCCCTCCGGAAGGGGGAGACCCCTTGAGGAGCCCTCTCCTCTCCCCTCCAAGCCACATGGGCGGACATGGGGTTTCAGGGTCCTCAGTGCTAGAAATGGGGACAGGCTGCGAGGAAGGTAGAGGATGCAGTGGGAACAGAGCTGAGTGCTGCTCAGAGGATGGCCCTGGAGATGGGAATCTCCATTCACTGGGGTCATGTGACCAGATCTGGGTTGAGCTCTGCCCCCACTGGACTTGGAGTAGAGCTCTGCAGCCCCACTTGGTCCCCACAGTGTCACCCAACTGCCCTTCATTCCCGGCCCAGGCCACTGCCACATCTCAGACACCTGGTTTCCTGTTCCCACAAGTGACCCATCAGCCTCATCCTCTGCTTCCCGCCTTGTCCCCTAGAAAGTGCCTGTGGGCAGGGAGAGGTGCCCAGAAACCCCATCTGCCTTGACCCTTTCCTTGTCACCCTGAGAAAAGCCGAAGATGTGACCAGGACTTGGGGTCCTGTGTCATGGGGGTCACTGTGCAGTGATGAGGAGTCATAGTCACTGGAGTGGTTGTGAGGGTGGTGTTTGGGGACAGGATGGTGGGAGGTTTTAAACTGGGTCGTGGAGATGGTCGCACAAGTCTGCATGTTTGCTAAAAAGCATGGAAGTGAACCCAGAAAACAGGGACTGTGAATGTGGTGACTTCCTCCAGAGAAACCCTGAGATCTGCTCTGCTTCCTCCCAGGTCTCCGGCCCAAACCCTCCATCAGGGCCGAGCCAGGCCCTGTGATCCGCCGGGGACAGCCTGTGACCCTCATGTGCCGGGGAACAGCTGGGGCTGACCTGTTCCGTCTGGAGAAGGATGGAAGATCTGTTTATCAGAATCAAACAAATGTGTCTCAGCGTGGTCCTCACTGGGCAGAGGCCACATTCCACATCAAGGCTGTGAGTGAGGACACTGCGGGGAGTTATCGCTGCCTCTATTACAAAGGGCCCCGCTGGTCTGAGCGCAGTGAGATCCTGGACCTGAAGGTGACAGATGAGGACGTCTTCCCTTCACCCTCAGGTTTGCCCCAGGTCCCTGCACCCTGTCCCCAGCACTGTCCTCTGTCCCAGGCTCCTTGCCCTCCTGCTGGCGCCCAGCCCTGTGGGTCCCCTGCTCCTCTGCACTGCTGTCCCTTCTCCTTCACACTCGACTCAGGACTCTGGGGCCCTGGTCCCATCTGGACAACACGGTGGTCTGGGCACTGAGCGTCAGCATGGAGTGGGCTGGGAGCTGATCTTGCAGGGTTGGAGAGTGTGGACTTCCAGGGACAGACCCCCTTCAAGGGACCTTTGGTCCTTTCACTCAGAATGGTTTTCAGCTGATTTTGTTCACTTGGGCAGACTCAGTGGGGCCTCAGGCAGCGTGTCCCGGGTGGGTGGTCCATCCACCTCTGGGCAAGTCACGGGGTTCATGGCGTCTCTGGCCAGGTATGGACAGTGCTTTTGTGGACCTCTGGGATGAGGCTGTCCTTCCAGTCTGTGTGGTCAACTCCTGAGAGGTCTGGGAGTCAGAGTCTAAGTGACCGGCTCAGGGATGGTGATGAGGAGGGAGGAATTCTTCCTTCAGAACCTGAAACTGTCTCTCCCTTTGCTCTTTATGCCGCTGTGACTCAGACTCCCCTGGTCAGTGGCAGGTCCAGTGTATTCTGACCTGTGACACCTCACTGCTCTGGGGGCCTGTGGGGGGCACGGTGACCCTGATAGGTAGGGTTAGCCCTCAGGACCTCCCTGACCCTGTGTCCAGGTGAGGTGGGTTCCACCACCCTATGTGTGTCTGGGCCAGGGAGCAGCTGCTTCATGTGATGTATCAGGGGTGGTGGGTCATTCTGAGGGGTGTCCAGCTTCTCAGAAACATAGAAGCAGAGAATTCCATCCAGCTGTCTCCACATGTCCCTGTCCCCATTCCTGGGAGTCCAGGAGCGTCCTCTGTACTGAGAGGGGCAGAGAAAGAGGCGGGGTGTGGACACTGTGGGAGCTGCAGGGCCAGGCTGAGAGGGACGGGCCCAGGAGGGACCTGGGCTCAGGGCTTCTCCTGCCCCCTCACAGGAGCCCCTCCTGGGCTGGGGAGGGGGGGCCTCAGCCTTGGGCCTCCTCTCTGGGGGCTCTGCTGGGAAGGGGGCAGTGGACTGGCAGTGGGGAGGGGTCCTGCTTCTGTCCTGGGGGGTGGACCCTCTGCAGGCAGGGACACTTTGCATTCTCTAGAGTCAGAGGCCTGTTCAGCCTGGGGGTGTGAGATCCGGGAGGGGAGACTCACCCTGGGTCCCTGAGCAAGTCTGAGTTTGCACTGGGTCCTGCACTGGGTGCTGTGGTGACTGGTAGTGAAGCCTGGGGGTGGGGACCCAGGGGTCCTGGAGGTGGGGAGGCCAGGGGCTGGGTGCTCCCAGGGAAGGGAGGGTCTGTGCAGGAGACAAACAGTGGTGCTTTCTCAGTCCCAGGAACAGCCCCTGAAGTCACCCCCCCACCAACAGGACCAGTCTCCCAGACGGGTAAGGCACCTGGGAGCATGTCCAGGGCAGTGCTGGAAGGGACGGGCCTGCCCAATAAAGGAGGAGCTCCTGTCTCACAGGCCCAGGGATTGGCTGATTCTTGTCCACCTGTCACTGACCCCCTGTCCTCTGCTTCCAGCCCCCGCCTCCCAGAATTACATGGTGGGGAACTGTGTCCGCATGGGCCTGGCTGGTGTGGTGTTGCTGATCCTGGTGGGGATTCTGGCAGAGGCTGCGTACAGCTGGCACAGGTGGCCACACAGACCACAGGACTGGACACAAGTGAGCTCCTGACAGAAAAATTAGACTTTAAACCCCCAGGAGGGTCCTTGCCCAAGGCCCCAGGGTCCCAGTGGAGCCCAAGAGACCCAGAATCATGTCCATTCTGTGAATTTCATGGTGCCCCTTGTGAGGCTGCCCCGTGCCTGGGACTCTGTCCTGGGAAGTGGCAGGAGCAGCAGGGACCTGCCTCCTGTGTGGTCCGTCTCCTTCCCCAGGGTTTGGCTCTGACTCAGACACTCACCCCACTCACAGCCCAGCCCCACTGCTGCCCGGGTCTCCTCCCTTCTCTCCTGGGTCTCAGACAGGCCCCAGGTATCTGCAGCCTCTGCCCCCCTCTTCCTCTCCTGGAGCCCTGTGTTCTCACCTGCTCTCTGGGGACCAGGCACATGCTGCTCAAGACTTTTGTCTCACCCACATCTGTCACCTGTGGGACTGCACCTGCTCTGGGCCCCTGACCGCCCACCTGTGTTCCTGGAGTGGTCTCTGCCTCCTGCATCTGAATCCTCACTTCCCACCTGACTTGGATCAAAAGTCCAGGGAAGGGACTCAGCCAAAAAACCACAGTGAGGTATCACTGCAGACTCCTCAGGACAACTATGGCTGAAATTATTTTTAAATGGTCGGCACTAGACTCACTGGGGTAGGGTGGTCACTTCCTAAGTAATGTAAATGTCTAACCCCCGTGCTGTACACTTGGAATAGTACACTGTACGTCCACTGTAACTGAAGAATAATTAAACGTACTAATGTAAAAACATCAAGTGTGCAAGGCTGTGAAGGAACGGGAGCCCCTGCGCCCCCTGGTGGGGACGCAAAGTGGTGCAGCCTCTGAGGGGGTCTGCAGGCTGTTCCTCAGAACTCGACAGGGAGTCTCCAGCCACCCAGCAGCCCCAGTCCGGGTTCAGGGACAGGGAGATGAGAGCAGGGATGTGGACACTTGTCCCTGTGCCCCCAGAACAGCGTGACTCACAATGGTCAAGGGCATCACAGGCTCCTCAGAGGTGGAGGAGGAAGCAGACACTGAATTCCAGAGACACCTCCTGAGAAGGACCCACTGGCTTTGAAGACAAGGGAGGAAGGGACCACGTGTCCCAGAACACGGGGTCTCTCACAACATCATGTGTGAATATCTCTCACAAGCCCCTACCTGGGGACCTGGAAGGCACCCCAGGCATGTGCCCTGACTGAGAATAGATCTGGTGACCCTTTGGTTCACAAACCAGTACTCAATCCACTGAGACACACCAGCCTGGGCTCAGATTTTATACTTAAACACGTGCATCCTCTCACTTATTGGTTTTTCCTGAAGCCTGTAAAGGGTTCAGTTATTCATCTCCTACACTGTTACTGGGTGTCATTTTCACCTCTTTTCTTGTAACTGTGAATAGACGTGACATTTGTCCTCCTCATTCTGGTGTCCAAGTACCTGGCTCTCCACTCTGGTCTCTCATCACGGCATTCGGGAGATGCCTTCCACATCGTGCTCCACTTTTATCACTGTTTCCTCAGCTGAGTCTAGTCCTGGACGGGAGGGACCGTTTCAATGTGTTCATTCTGTTGCGTTGTTCACCTCTAAAGTTTCTAAATCTTCTCTACAATTTTCTATTCTTCTGTAATCTAATAAAAAATTTAATACCCCTGTTTATTTTTAGAGATATTTAAACATGCTGAATTTAAATTTCCTCTCATATTTCCTACTGGCTTTCTTTCATTGCCTGTGACAGTCCCCAGTGTCAGGAGATGGCATGTATAGCTCTGTCTGTCATCATCAGGGCATCTCCACTGTCCACCCTTATAGGAGCCTCTCCCCTCACACACCTGGTCTCTCTCAGATTCTCTAGGACTGTCCTGGGGGTCAGGCTTCCCTGCTTATACTGTCCATGTATTTCTCTCTGTATCTAAGTGTCTATTGATGTTTCTAAGTATTTATGCATCTATGTCACTATGTATTTATTGAAGTATTTATGTGCCTATTTATTCAGCTATTGATCTCTGTATGTATCTGTATAACTCTATGTATTTATGTATCTGTGCATCTATATAAGTGTGTCTATGCATGTGTATATCTATATATGGTAGACATGTATCCATGTGCCTATCATTTTTCTACCTACCTATTATTTACTTATCTATCAATATGTCATCTACTTCTGTATCTATCCATCTTTCTTGTATATCTATGTTTATCTGTCATCTATGTATATACTATTTACGTATCTATCATTTTTTTATCTATTTATATCTCCATACCCCTCTCTTTATTTATCTCTCTCTTTTTCCATCTGTTATGAATTTAGATCAGATAGTTTTTATGTGGACATGGGTTCAGCCTGGTTATGGAATATCTCAGCAGAAATACCTTTCAGAAACCAAAGCCTCTCTGGACCCAAAGAGGGGACATTAGAGTTGGGCCTGGGGACACCCAGACTCACTTCCTGTGAGACCACAGAAATGAGCCCACGGTGTAGACCTTGCACACTTCCTGACCTGCAGGGCCCTGTCCTCCTCCCCACGGACAAGGACAGAGAAGATGGAGAGAGGCTAGGGGAAGGACCCTAATCCCACCATCCTCCTGGGTCTCAGTGAAATGGAACCCGGGGCAGAACCCCAGGAAGAAAAGGAAGGGAGATGCCTCTTTTCTCTGTAAACTGTGACTGTCAGGAAGCATCACAGGTCATCCCCACACCTGTTCTGGAGAAGGTGTGCCCTTTCTCTCTTAAACACCAGAGTGCTCTTATCTCGACATTCTTTAGAGAACAGAGGCTGTCCAGCATCCCACCCTCCCCTCCCCAGCACTCAGGAGAGGGCTGCTAAGGGCTCTTGTCTCCAAAGTGGGTGCAGGAAGTTCTAGGAGACACAGTGAACCTGGGGCCCATGAGCATCAGGAGAGGCCACAGGCCCAGCATGGTTCTCTCCTGCCACACGAAATGCAGCCCAGACAGTCCCCAGATCCAGGACACCACATGGGGTGTGATTTCAGAGCCTCTTCCCTCCTCACGTTCCCATAAAGGCAGCATTGGCTGCAATGGGATGGGAGAACCAGCAGCTCCTCAGAAAACAAAAAAACTACATGCCTCACGACTGTTTGAACTCTCAATGCTGCTTTAGTGCAGTAAGAACAGTGTTGGAGCTGAGCCTCCAGACTCCCTCCCCAAGAGGACGGAGACCGAGAAGAAAGAGGAAGCAGCTGGGGGCCGTCCCCCAACTAAAGTGGAGAAAAGTGGACACCGCCCATCACTTCCCTTTCCACAACCTCTCCAATGACTGCTGATGAACTGTGAGCTTTCAGGTCATTTCAAATTACACATATGTATTTGAGTTAAAAATAGTACAGGAACTGGGGGAATGACATGTATAAACATGAATGACGCGTATAAACACGTATAAATCACACCTAAAGACAGAGACTGGAATGATGCCGAATCTCTCCTGCTGTACAGGACCCTGAACCCAAAAAGCACAAAAAGCAGCCGTACAGTTTACACACACAGTCTCACACCATGTCTTCATCACACACCTCGGGCTCCTCACATCAGAAGATTAAATAGAGACTTCCGACCAAGATGGAGGTGTAGGTAGACTCCTGTGCCTCCTCGCACAACCGAAATAAGGACAACAACAACTGAGAAACAAAACAACCAACAGAACTGACAGAAAATTGAACTGCATGGAAGTCTGACCTCCAAGGAGTTAAAGGTAGACACACTCATGCAGACTGGTAGGAAGGGTGGGGTCAAGCGGCTGGGTGGAGCGGGATCGCTACACAAAAAATAGTGGCACTGAACGCACAAGACACCCCTAATGAGCAATATGGTGGCAGGCAGACCCTGGACACGGGGTGGCAATGGGCAGACCCAGCAAGGAGGCGATTTTGAAGTGAGACACTGTGAGCAAGGTGGCTGGCTGATCGGGCAGTCCTACATTTGAGCGCAGATAAACCAGGCAAAACTGAGACAGACCGCAGAATGAAGGGTCCCAGCGCCGGGAAATAAAGGTTCAAAACACCAATTAGAAACACTTGTGGGGATTGAAGTGCAGGGAGAGACTCTCAGCCTCACAGGAGAGTTTGTTGGAGAGACCCACAGGGTCCTAGAACATACACAAGCCCCTCCCCCCATGGGAATCAGCACCAGAAAATTTCCATTTGCTTGGGGGAAGCAGCGGAGGGGACTCAGATAGGATGGAGAGTGGAGAAAGCACCATTGTTCCCTCTCCGGCCCCACCCCCCCATACAGCGTCACAACCCAGCAATGTGGGTTACCCCTCCATGGTGAACACCTAAGGCTCCACCCCAGATACATAACAGGCACAACAAGACAAAAGAAAAAAATATGGCCCAAACAGAAAAACAGATCAAAGGTCTACAGCAAATACAACTAAGTGACGAAGAGATACCCAACCTATCAGATGCACAGTGCAAAGCACTGGTGATCAGGATGCTCACAGAACTGGTTGAATGTGGTTGCAAATTAGATGAAAAAATGAAGGCTACACTAAGTGAAATGAAGGAAAATGCACAGAGAACCAATAGTGATGGGAAGGAAACTGGGACTCAAATCAATGGAGTGGACCAGAAGGAAGACACAACCAAACAGAAAAGGATGAAGAAACAAGAATTCAAAAATATGAGGAGAGGCTTAGGAACCTCCAAGAAATATTTAAACGTTCCAACATCCAAATTATAGGGGTACCAGAAGGGGAAGAGGAGGAGCGACAAGTGGACAACTTATTTGAATAAATAATGGAGAACTTCCCCAATCTGGCAAAGGCAATAGACTTCCAGGAAATCCAGGAAGCTCAGAGAGTCCCAAAGAAGTTGGACCCAAGGAGGAACACACCAAGGCACATCATCATTAACATTACCCAAGATTAAAATGAAGGAGAGAATCCTAGAAGCAGCAAGAGATAAGGGGACAGTCACCTACAAAGGACTTCCCATCAGACTGTCAGCTGACTTCTCAAAAGAGACCTTGCAGACAAGAAGGGGCTGGAAAGAGGTATTCCAAGTCATGAAATCCAAAGACCTACAACCAAGATTGCTCTATCCAGCAAAACTTTCATTTAGAATGGAAGGACAGATAAGGTGCTTCTCAGATAAGATCAAATTCAAGGAGTTCATCATCACCAAGCCCTTATTATATGAAATGTTAAAGGGACTTATCGAAGAAAAAGAAGATAAAAAATATGAACAGTGAAAGGACAGCAAACTCACAGTTATTAAGAACTACACCTAAAACAAAAGCAAACTAAGAGGACAGCTAGATCAGGAGCAGAACCATAGAAATGAAGATCACATAGAGGATTATCAACAAGGGAGTGGGAGGAGGAGAAGGGGGGGAAGGTACAGAGAATAAGCAGTGTAGACGGTAGATAGAAAATAGACAGGGGGGAGGGCAAGAGTAGTGTGGGAAATGTAGAAGTTAAAGAACTTGAGACAAATGGACATGAACTAAAGGGGGCAATGTGGATGGGAGGGGGTGTGCAGGGTGGAGGGGAATGAAGGGGGAAATAGAACAACTGTAATAGCATAAGCAATAAAATATATTTTAAAAAAGAAAAAGAAGATTAAATAGAATACTCACACATGTCTTTGTCCACATCTCCTTCTGCCTCTCTGTGCTCGTTCTTGTCCGAGGCCCCCTGTTGCCTGGCCCAGGTTTCTGCACCAGAGTCCAGTTTGACTTTGTTTCTGGCTCCGGGAGTGATCTGTTTTCTCCTCATTTTTCCGGATGTGCACATACACTGGGGACTTGGACTTGGTGATCTCGTCACTGTGACATCTGCCGGGGGGGGGTCTGACTGCACCCACAGGACTGGGCCCTGGGGGGGGTGCAGGAGGCAGGCTCTTTACCAGACCCCCCGTGTCAGAGGGGGACTCCCGTGGAGTCTGTGTGACCGGTGACACCCTCTCTGAGGGGCTGCAGCCAGTGTCCTCCCACTTAGGGCTCTTCCTTTGGTACAGGACAGCGAGAGTCACAGTGAGGACAGTTGTCACTATGCCCACCACCATCCCACCCAGAGACTGGGGCCAAACCTTCCCCTCCAGGACCCAGAGCCAAATGTGTCCCAGCCAGGTGATGGTGTCAGGAGGGCTTTGGCATCACAGAGGTCGGTGCCATTGTGGATAAACTGCGTGGTTTCCGTGCTGCTCGATGCGTCTTCCCTGCTGAGCTCTCCAGCCCATAGGATTCTGTCCTGAAAGGGAGACAATTCCCAGGATACCCTTGGCCTTGGCAGTAGTGGGAAACAGCACGGTACTGTGGGTCCCCTCTGGCTAGAAGCTGCAAGAGGCTGAGGCCAGTGGGCTGCTGGGATCTGTAGACTTGAACATGCATGTGAGCTTCCCTCGAGTCTACAAGCCATACACATTTCTTATTAGGAGTGTGTACCTCCAAGGCTGAGACTGCAGCAGTCAGCAGCCTGAGCCCTGCTGCCAGCACTGACCATAGACTGTGACCTGGGGCCAGGGACTGGGGCCCAGCCCCTGTGGGCACAGCCATCAGCCTCTGCTGCAGCCCCACCCCTGTGCTGTCCACAGTCTCAGCCCTGCTGCTGTCCCCTGGGCCCTCAGCATGGAAGCAGCCTCCTGCACCAGCAGGGCACCCGTCTCTCTCAGGTTCTCACGCGAATTGTACTCGACGTGCACTCAGCACCGTCTGCCTTAGCTCTTCCCCTTTGCAGCAGGAGATGGATGTGGCAACTTCAGGAAAACCCCCGACCCCACACTTGCTGATGACCGTGCCTGCTGCTGGCTCTGTCCTTCATTCCCAGGCTCCAGGACGGTGCAGGCTGCAGGGCTGGGCATGGACCTCTGTCCCAGGGCTCTCCTGGTCCTCGGTGAGTCCTGGAATGGAGGGATCATGTCCCGGGACCCAGGAGGTGGTACGCTTGGGAGGTGTCTGCATAACTTTCGAGTCCTGACTCCAGACCAGGAAACTCATGGTCCCTCCTGCTGGTCTGAACCCTCAGCTCAGGGCCCAAGCCAAGTGTGACCTTGAAAGAAAGATTGAGTCCTAGAAGTGGATACCTGGGAGTGGGGACAGGATCAGACTGAGGACCTGTTTGGGAGAGGGGACTGGGGCTTCGTTGAAACTCAGAGCAAGAAGAAGGGCTGTGCTCAGAGGTGAAGCTGAGGAGGGAGCTGGACACTCTCGGGGGCTGAGTCCTGCCTCCATCAGGGCCCCTGACTGCAGCCCCGGGGGGGGAGGCTGGGCGCTGGGCGTTTTTCTCACCACAGCTTCTCTCCCAGTGCTCTGCCTGGGCCAGACCGTCCACACGCAGGAGGGTGAGTCTGTCATTTTAAATTTTGTTTTTCATGAATGTTGTGTTTTCTGACCAAGTATTAATATTCCTTAGAGGCCTCTGGTGGCTCACCTTCACCTCGGACGAGACCCAGGCCCCTGTCTCTGTCTGGGTGGGTCTGTCCTCACGCTGTCTGACCCGCTGATCTGGGGAGAGGCAGCCTTTCCTTCAATTCCACACACACCCTGGTCCTACTGGACCTGACCTCCTCCCAGGCTGACTCTCCTCTCACTGGGCTGGTTCACACTTGGCCTTCGGCTCTGCATCTCTTCCCTGTGACTCCCAGACAGGTCAACTGTCCCTCCTTTGGCCCAAGACTCCCACACTTACTCGGGTGTGTGACTGTGGGTTTGCACGATCCCTTCATCAGCCTCTGTGCTCCCTGCTCCCTCCAGACAGGGAAGCAGGTCCTTCTGTGTGAGTGTCGTGTTTGTGGGGCCAGTGGCACATGGGGCGCCTGTGAAAATGGATGGAGAGGAACTAGGGTATGGATGTAAGAATGAGTGAGGGAGGGAGTGGGTGGGGACACTGGGCCAGCGCCTGCCTCTGTGGGGCTCCAGTGACCTGGGTGCCATGTTCCTGTTTCAGGGCTATGATCCCTGTCTTCCCCCCTCCCAGCCACACGGCACACATGGGGTTTCAGGGCCCTCAGTACTAGAACTGGGAACAGGCTGCGAGGAAGGTAGAGGATGCAGTGGGAACAGAGCTGAGTGCTGCTCAGAGGATGGCCCTGGAAATGGGAATCTCTGCAGCCCCCATTGGTCCCCTCAGTCTCACCCACCTGCCCTTCATTCCTGGCCCAGGTCACTCCCACTTCTCAGATTCCTGCTTCCCTGTCCCCACATGTGACCCATCACCCTCACCCTCTGCCCCTTCCTTGTCCCCTAGAAAGTGGTTGTGGGCAGAGAGAGGTGACTGACTCCTCTCCGCCTCACTCCAGTGTCACCCTGAGAACAGCCCGACATGTGACCAGGACTCATGTCACAGGGTCCCGTGTCAGGGGGGTCACTCTGCAGTGATAAGGATTCACAGTCACTGGAGTGGTTGTGGGGGTGGTGTTTGGGGAAAGGATGGTGGGAGGTTCTGCAAACTGGGTTGTGGGGATGTTTGCACAACTCTGCACGTTTGCTGAAAACATGGAAGTGAACCCAGAAAACAGGGACTGTGAATGTGGTGACTTCCTCTGAGGGACCCTGAGATCTGCTCTGCTTCCTCCCAGGGGCCCTGCCCAAACCCTCCATCAGGGCCGAGCCGGGCCCTGTGATCCGCCGGGGACAGCCTGTGACCATCGTGTGCCGGGGCCCAGCTGGGGCTGAGCTGACACATTCCGTCTGGAGGAGCAGAATGGAAGATCTGTCTATTGGGACCAGACAAACGTGTCTCAGCGTGGTCCTCGCTGGGCAGAGGCCATGTTCCACATCAAGGCTGTGAGTGGGGACACTGCTGGGAGTTATCGCTGCCTCTGTAACAAAGGGCCCCGCTGGTCTGAGCGCAGTGAGATCCTGGACCTGAAGGTGACAGATGAGGACGTCTTCCCTCCACCCTCAGGTTTGCCCCAGGTCCCTGCACCCTGTCCCCAGCCCTGTCCTCTGTCCCAGGCTCCCTGCCCTCCTGCTGGCGCCCAGCCCTGTGGCTCCCCTGCCCCTCTGCACTCCTGTCCCTTGTCCTTCACCCCCAGCTCAGGGCCCGGGAGCCAGTCCCTTCTTTACTTGGCAATGGCCTAGAGACTGAGCCCAAAATTATTGTGGACACAGAGCTGCCCCTGCAGGACTAAGAGGGGAGTGGATGCCCAGAGGTCGGGTGGGGACAGACCCCCTTTGAGGAGACAGGTGTCCCACTTCACAGGATGGGGTTTTACTGTCCTTTTTCCTGGGCCAGACTCGGTGGGACCCCAGGAAATGTGTCCTGTATGCGTGATTGATCCCTTTGGGAAACTCATGTGGCCCAGGGGCCAGGACCAGGGCTGGGTGTTGCTTTGCAGAATTTGGGGGTTGAAGCTGTGTCTCCCCAGTGTGTTCAGGCCTGACATGTCCTGCACTCAGAGTCCATCAGGGACACTCTGACCCCTCCATGTGCCCCTGGGGTTCACAGGAGCAACTCCACGCTGACTCTGGGGTCAGGAGCAGCTTGGTGGTGGGAGGTGAGGGGAGTGACCACTTCCCCTCAGCAGAACAGAGCAGGGGGCTCCCCTGACTCCTGCCCCCATTTCTCAGGAATGTGAGGGCTCATCTGGGACTGAGTGATGCACTGATGCGGCCTGTGGGTGACGATCAGGGTGGGGAGGGGCCAGGCTGAGTGGGACAGACCCCAGGCAGCCCCCACAGAGCAGCAACCCTCTCCTGCTCTGCTCACGGGAGCCCCCAGAGTCGTCACCTCCACCCCCCTCACACCCACAAAGCCCCCGCCCACGGCTGGTGAGTAGAGACCACAGCCTGGAGGGGTTTTGGGGGGCTCTGATCTGGGATACTGCTCTGGGGTCCAGCCCTCTGCCCTGGGCTTGGAGACTCAGAGAAAGACAAACACCACAGGATCTCACTTCTGTGTGGAGTCTGGTGAACAACACGATGTAACAAAGGAGATAGAACCAGAAGCACAGACACACAGAACAGAATGACAGCTGTCAGGGGGAGGGATCATTTTCTAAAATTTCCATATACATGTGTGTGCACAGACATATATATGTGTTTGACACAGGACACATTTATTTGACTTCAATATCAGTGGATTCAATAACATGCATGGTACCAATTTGGACAGGACTGAACTGGTATTTCCATCCCCACAGAAAGTTCCAGCAGCAGAGCAGCACCGGGAGGAACAGGTGAGGGTCCCGGAGCCAGGGAGGCCCCCTGGGTGGGGGGCAGGGACACTCGGAGCCTCCTGGGCCCGGCTCTGGCCTTTGACACACGTCCTCCTGATTCCTCACTCCTAGGACACAGGCAGACAGACTCCCCGGACACTGAGACCAGCAGAGAGCGATGGGGTCAGACGGCCATGGACCTGGAGCCTGCCTCGTGGGGGAGGGAGAAACCATGGGTGTCTGTGTCCCTCACATTCCAGCTCCGCCATCTTCCTGTGACAGGATGTCCCCACTCAGGGCCCCGGTTTTGTAAAATGAGGGTGATGGTCCCAGTGTGGCAGGACTACTGGGCACGTGGGAGATTATCCATGTGGGTGTGAACATGCCCAGCACCCAGCACAGGCATGTATGCAGTAGGTGCTCAGCAAATGCACGCTGCTGACACCTTGGTTCCATTTTCCCTGCTGCCTCAGGCCTGTCCACGGACCATCTTTATATCCTTGTCGGGGTCTGTGTGGCTTCTCTGCTTTGCCTCCTCCTCCTGGCCCTCCTCTTAGTCCACCGGCAGCATCAGAAAAAACGTGGTAGGTCTCAGGGTCAGGGCGGGGTCAGGTGAGGTGTTTGGGGTGCTGGGAAGACAGCCTCCCCCCTAATTCACACCCCTGACTGTCCTCAGGGCCCCCCAGCAGCAAGGGCGAGGAGCCAAGGCCCCAGGAAAGGTGAGGCTCCCCTGGGGATCACGGGGAACCACCTCCCAGTTCTCTGCCTGCAGGTGCCCCCCTTGCTCACCTGTTCTTCCTCCTCAGGCTCAGCCCCACAGTTGACCTCACAGAGAGCCCAGCAGGTAAACGGACAAGGAGGGGGGCCTCTTGGGAGAAGGGAAAAGGGCATTCAGTGCCATTCTGGAGGCAGTGGGGTGGGAGGGTGTCTGGGCACATTATAGGCTGTTGTGGAGCAGGAGGGTATGCACTCTGACCCTGTGAACTCTCAGGCATGTTCAGGCATGTTCGGCATGGTCAGCTCAGGAGCTGACCACTGTTCTCTCCCCTCCAGACGTGGCCACCACAGTGGAGGCCCTTGTGGACGAGGAAAACAGGGAGATGCACAGCCCAGTGAGTCCTTGTCTTTGCTACTGGTTTCTGGGTAGCAGGGCACCCCCACTTTAACGGGTTCACAGAATCATCCCAGTGCTTCCAAAACCTCACCAAATCCTGGGTGAGGATTTGGAAGCAGATCGAATGTGCTGGGTGGTGCTGGCTCAGGGACCCTCATGAGGTTGCTGTGCAGAGACCAGGGCTGCACCCAGCTGAAGGCTTGCCCGGGGGCTGCGTGTCCACTTGTAGGGGGCACCCCCCCAGGGCTGGGGGCGGGAGGCCTCAGTTCCTCTGCAGGCAGGTGGGCTCCTCCACGGCAGCCCCCCTCCCCACAGGGAGAGATCCCAGAGAGGATGGGCCGAAGCCACAGTGTGGTGTGTGGCCCCTCCTTGGAGGCCACAGGCCTCACTGGTGCCATAGTCTGTGGGTCACACAGACCAGCTCTGCCTCTGTGTGGAAGGAGGCCACCCAGTGCAGATTCGGGAGGTGGCATCACAGGGGCCACAGGGAGGCTGGCTGCCCAGTCTTTCCTTCCCGCAGCCCCCCACCCCTCAGCCTGGGCCACACTCACTCAGCCTGGGTCTGTCCCCCAGAGCCCTGCTGCAGGGGACGCCCAGGAGGTGACCTATGCCGAGCTGGACCAGCGGGCCCTCACACGGAGAGCAGCTCGAGCCGAGTCCCCACAACCCACGGAGCCCACAGCCGAGTCCAGCATGTATGCAGCCCTCCCCAGACACTGACCTCAGGACCACCTGGCCTCTGCCCCTCGAGACGCAGGACGCCACTCTTGCAAAGGCCGGTAGCGGCCACTTGGAGGACTCCCCTGTTAGTCTGTCTCCTTCCTGAAAGGCATCTACACATTTCTCCTGGAGACAAGACCTGGACTTCGGGGACCCCTACTCAACATGTAGGAGGTTTATTAACCAAGAGGCCCCTCCTACAGTGAACCAGCTTGGTGAAGCACACCTGTAACAGTTGTTTCCAGAGACCCAGCTACTGGCACCTGGCAGTTTCCAGTGACCCATCTAATGTTGGGCAGCAGTTTCCAGACACCCATCTAATGTTGGGCAGCAGTTTCCAGAGACCCAGCTAATGTTTCTCAGCTGGTGTCACCAGACCCAGCTTGGGGGGTCTAACTGGCTGCCCCATCAAGTTAAAAGGAATCTTAACCCTGAAAACCTGTAGGGCGCAAGCGTCTGGTCTGAATTAATTTCGCTTTTTTTTTTTAATAGAAAAAAGAAGAAACTTGCATGCCTGGTATAGGCCTGGTATTAAAAATGTTATTATATATTAAAAGAATATTTTAAAAGTTCAACCAAACCTCAGCCAGGTTTTTTAAGAGTGCAGTTGCTACTTTAGTTCTGTGAAACATTAGCATATTGACTCCTGGGGCAAACCCTCCATAGCACCTGCAGGCTTTCCTCTGTTTGGTTTTTTAAAAACTAGGGACTGAAATGCTCACTAAGTTGCCCAAGGTCGGCTACCTGTGACCTCAGGGGAGGAAAACATCTCACTAAGCAGGAGGTCTCTGTCCTGGCTCAGAGAGGGTGGGTGTCCAGCCTTCCTCCTCGATTTTAAGTTGTACTGATCTTTAACGTGCCTTGTCTACTCAGGGTCAATTTTCCTCCAGAAATTTGCTTTCCAATTCTTCATTTTTATCTATATTTTCTTGGGGTTCCATCATGTATTGAGTGTCTGCCTTTCCATCTCTTTGTTACTTTCCATCTATTGGTGCATTAGTCTGGGTTCCACAGGGACACAGAACCAGTAGGTTCTGGTTTACACGTCACCTAGAGACACTGAGTGTAAGGACGGATCCACCACAGGAAGAGGCTCACAGGTGACAGCACCTGCAAGTCCCACCAGCTGCCGTCTGCACTCTGGACACCCAGGAGAGCCGGTGCTGTAATTCTGACCACAGACAGGCGGGTTTGCTACACACACAGGGACACTGACTGCTGTGGCCACACTGCCCTGAGTCCACAGGGTCACCTCCTGGGTTCTTCCCCAGGGCAGAGCCCGTGGTCTGAACCTTCTATTTCCTGGAGGTGCTGGGTGGCTGGGGCTCGGGAACATGGCGCCCTGGGCAGGTGGCGCTGAGACCCAGGATCATAACCCACAGAGGCCTTGGCGTTGGGGTGGAGGGTGCACTCCCAGACCCGATGCCCTTCTCCACAAGCAGCAGTGACCACAGGGCTGGGTGACCCCTGGGTTGAGCTCCAGGTCTGGGGAGAGCAGCAGGTCTGTGCTCTTGGAGGAGCTGAGCCCCATCCCATCCAGGAGGACACAACAGCCAGCATCTCAGACACCTCCTCTGTCTCCATCTGAGCTCACCTGGCTGGCCAGGACAATGAGGACGTCGCTTACCGATGACCCCAGCTCTTCCTGGGAGGCTGCCTGGTGCTGTGGCCCAGCAGCCCCTCCCTGGTCTGTGACCCTGAGAAGTCTCAGGTCTTTCTCTTCAGGTCCTGATTCTGTCCTGTCTCCTCCTCATGGGGCCGGCCCTCACCTGTGAGGTCATCATGATATGTCTCTGCACTGTGAGGGGCAGAGGGTAGGAGTCCCCCTTCTCTCCACACAGTGCCTGTCATCTGTGCTGTAATGGACCCAGGGTCACCTACCAGCCTGTAATGGAAATAAAGCCACCAGCCTAGACCCTTCTGGTTCATTGCTAACTCAACCTTCCATGAAGCCCCACCCACCAACCTTTGGACAATGTAACTGTCTCTGTAGTGCATTTGCTTCTGTAGACGGAGGGGCTTTTAGTTCAGAAAGAACGGAGCCAGCTGGGCGGCAGGTGGGTGCTGAGCACAGCCCAGGGTCACAGGACACAGAGGGGCACAGAGACAGGGCCATCGTGACTGAGCAGGGTGCCACCTGCCCTGGAGAGCATGAGGAGGGCAGACTGAGTGTCCTTCCAGTGTGACACTCTCCTCTCTGTACCCTCCGCCCAGCCATAACATGAAGGTCTCAAGAGGGTTGTGTGGTTGCTTTCTTTGCATGTGGGAAAGTGAAGTGTTTGCATAAAGAAATATGTGATTCGAAACATTCACCCTGTGCGGACCAGATGACAAGCAAGTAAGTTTCCTGCCTATACTCTGTCTATGTCTATGTAGCTATACATCTAAGTATCTATGTATCTATCAGTGTAATTATCTATCTATATACTTACTATGTATCTATGGATCTGTGTACCTATTTAAGTACCTATGTGTTTATCTAAGTGTCTATGTATCTCTCTATCATGTAACTGTCTATCTCTAGTTAATATCAGGTAAGTTTCATCTGGACATGAGCTCAGCATGGTTATGGAACATCTCATCAGAAATGCCTTCCAGAAACCAAGGTCTCTCTGGACTCAAGCAGGGGAAGCTAGAGTTGGGCCTGGGAGGAGCCAGACTGCCTTGCTGTGAGACCACGGAAATGAGCCCACGGCGTGGCCCTGCACACTTCCTGACCTGCAGGTCCCTGTCCACCTACCCACAGGACAAGGACAGCAAAGAAAGGCTGGTGATGCAGCTGAATCCCACCACCCTCCTGGGCCTCGGTGAGTCCAAACACTGGGAGGGAGACCCACAGGGACAGAGGGGGTGAGACACTGGAGGGGCTTCATGTCAGTCCAGCCTCTAGTCTAGGACTTTCTGGGTCTTGGGAGGACAGTCAGCTATGCAGACAGTGACAGATTGCTGTCACCTGTGCCTAAGCATCCAGTGGAGGGAACCAGGGCCTCTAACCTGTTCTGGACCCTGAGATGGAGCAGCTCAGATACAGACAGGCCGGACGGGGCTCCCTATTTGGGAGGTGACCGGGAACTTGTCTGGAACCTGCTGCAGGGGAAGGAAGCTGCCCCCCCCCTGTAGTCATGTGGATGAGGGTGGTTTGAGCATCATAGTGGAGATAAAGTCTTTCCCTGCTGCACACTGACCTTGACCCCTGTTTAAGGAAACTGGGCAGTGAGCATTTTTCTTACTGGGTCTCTTCTTGCAGTGCTCTGCCTGGGCCAGGTGATTCAGAGGCAGAAAGGTGAGTTTCTACATAGTATCTAATCCATCCCACCCCAAGGGCAGCTCTGACTGGAGTCCTGTGGTTTCTGGGAGGGACCGAACCCCAGTTACAGCCGAGGAATGTCCCTCCCAAGTCTCTCCTGATGGCTGCAAACACCCCCGGACGTCAGCCCTGGTCTCCAGACCCCTCAGAGTCAATAAATGCAAAACTGGACCCCTGGTTCTCACCCACTCCCACCTGAGTCCTCATCAGTCTGCTCTTGTTTTCTCAGTGAGGGTCTCGAGTCCAGGACCAGGTAACACAGTCACCCTTGATTCTCCGCGTGTCCCTCCTCATGTCCCTCCATCCCAGATCCCTGCTGGTTTCTGTCCACATGTCCTCATGTGTCCTCACCTGTACCCATGTCCCTGCTGGGGACCATGTTCCCAAACTGAGCTCCCTCACCCCCGATGCACAGCAGCTACTGGGGTGTCCAGGGGACATTCCCTGCCACCTTCGCCCTGCTCTGTCTTGCTGGTAAATTTAGAAAAAACAAATCCGATGAGTTAACTTCCCAGCTGAAACTCTCCGCTGGTTGAACTGAGGTCTCTTATCAGATCGCTTATCAATGTATTTCCTCTGCTTGTGTCTAGCCACATCCCGCCCTGCTCTGTCTCACTCCCTTATCACCAGACAACTGGGTTTCTTTCAGTCTCTCAAACAGGCTGCACCCACGCTGCACTCAGGACTGTCTCACACCCTGACTTCTCTGCCTCCAGCACCCCGGCCCCCCGATTGCTCAGCTGAACAGCTCCCTGGGTGTTCATGGCATCTCTGCTCAGACTTCGCTCGCCCAGATGGGGAAGGGTTTCCTTGTTATGCTCTCTCCTTATGCCTGAGGGTAGTCACCACAGGTCTGTCTGGCCTCAAGGCCTTTCTCAGAAATCTGCTTATCCCCCACATCCCTGCCTATAATAGAGAACATCTCTGTAGCTGATTTCTCTCTCTCATAATGAAGCAGTTTTCTGTGGAGTTTGGCAAGAGATAGTGTGGCGGCCCGTGTGTCACCAGGGATGCAGGCTCTCTTTGTTCTGTTCCACAACCTTAGTTCAGGGCCACCAGCACAAAAGTTGCCTCTTGATGCAAGGTGGCTGCCAGGGCTCCAGCCATTGCATTGTTTGCAAAGAAAGGCAGAAGTGGAAAAAGGTCCTCCAGGCTTAATTGCCACCTGGCGAGATAACTCAATGAGAATGTCACCATTAGGGTGACATTCTTTTATCTCATTGTCACAGAAGTGGTCACACAGCTACACAGAACCAACCCTGAAGCTGCCAGGTGTTGTGTTTTGTTCCACGAGGCACTGAGTCTGGTTACAAAGTGATGCTCTGGTTCGAATGAAGTTGGGGAGTGCAGATGCAGTGGAGGCAACACCAGTCTCTGCCTCATTGTCCTCCTGTCCTCATAGGGAAGGAAAAGCTATTTCCTCATCATGGACCCTGAGATCTGCTCTGCTTCCTCACAGTCTTAATCCAGTCTAGGCCAATATTTGTGACTCTCCGGGAACGGCCTGCAGCTGTCGTGTGCCGGGGCGCTGGGACTAAGTTCTGCAGCCTGGTGAAGAAGGACGAAAGATATGTGCACAGGAAACTGAGAACCATGTCTCAACCCGGCTCACAGGGGACAGAGGCCAGATTCCGCACCCCTGCCGTGAGTGAAGACACTGCCAGATGTTATATCTGCCTCCATCGCAAAGGGTCCATGTGGGTTGTGTTCCGTAAGCCCCTGAAGGTGACGCTTCAGGACATCTCCACCCTGTCCTCAGGTTTGCCCCGTCTTTGGACCCTGTCCCCTGCTGTGTCCTCTGTCCCATCTCCCTGCCCTCCTGCTGGTGCCCAGCCCTGTGGCTCCCCTGCCCCCTGCACTCCTGTCCCTTGTCCTTCACACTCAGCTCAGGGCCCTGAAGCCCTGGACCCATCTGGACACCATGATGGCCTGGACACTGAGCACCAGGGGGGGGCTCAGAGCTGTCCCCGCAGGGCTGGGTGGGAGCAGGCTTCCAGAGACCGGGTGGGGAGAGACCTCCTTCAAGGAGACAGGTGTCATTTCCTTCAGGATGGTGTTAAACTCTCTTTTTTGCTGGGCCCGGCTCAGCGCCCTTGTGGTGCGGTTGCCCCTCCAGCTGGGCACAGCCAGTGCAGATCCATGGACTCCTGGAGAAGGACTGGACACTGCTTTGTGGGACCTTCTGGATGAGGCAGCCCCTGGCTTGGGGTGGTCAGAACCTGAGACATCCTGGAGTCAGTGTCCCCCAAGGGCGATGAGAGTGAGGGAGGAGAGGTGGAATTCTTCCTTTAAAACAGTATTTTTTTTAAATTTGTTTCTTTTCCCTTTGTTCTGCTGTGGCTCAGACACCCCATGGGTCAGTGCGCATGACCAGGGGTGGCCCCCATCTTCCAGGCCTGGGGAGTGTCCACCGAGTTTATCTTGACCATGTGACCACTCACTGCCTAGGGGATTGGAGGTGGGACAGTGGCCCTGATAGGTGGGGTCAGAGTCCAGAACCTAAGACCCAGTGGCCAGGTGAGGTGACTCCCCCCCACCCACCCTGTTTCTCTCTGCGCCAGGGTCCCACTGCTTTGTGCTCATGTGTGGAGAGTGACAGGACATTCTGAGCAGTGTCCTGCCCCTCAGACAAGTAGACACAGAGAATTCCATTCTGCTGTGCTCACAGGTCCTTGTCCCCTCTCTGGGGAGGTCAGAGGGTGTCCTCTGTACTGAGAGGGGCAGAGAAAGAGGCCGAGTGTGGATACTGTGGGAGCTGCAGGGCCAGGCTGAGAGGGAAGGGCCGAGGAGGGACCCGGGCACAGGGCTTCTCCTGCCCCCTCACAGGAGTCACTAGAGACCTCAGCCCCCTCTCCCCTCATCCAGAGCCCCTCCTGGGCTGAGGAGTGGAGATTTCAGCCTGGGGGTGCCCTCCTTGGGGCTATGCTGGGGAGTGGGCAGTAGACTGGCAGTGGGGAGGGGTCCTGCTTCTCTCCTGGGGGGTGGACCCTCTGCAGGCAGGGACACTTTGCATCCTCTAGAGTCAGAGGCCTGTTCAGCCTGGGGGGTGTGAGATCCGGGAGGGGAGACTCACCCTGGGTCCCTGAGCAAGTCTGAGTTTGCACTGGGCCCTGCACTGGGTGCTGTGGTGACTGGTAGTGAAGCCTGGGGGTGGGGACCCAGGGGCCTGGAGGTGGGGAGGCCAGGGGCTGGGTGCTCCCAGGGAAGGGAGGGTCTGTGCAGGAGACAAACAGTGGTGCTTTCTCAGTCCCAGGAACAGCCTCTGAAGTCACCCCTCCACCCACAGAAGTCACTCTGGTACCCACTGAAGTCCCCCTGGTACCCACAGGACCAGTCTCCCAGACAGGTAAGGCACCAGGGGAGAGTCCCCAGGAGGAGTGCTCCAAGAGACAAGTCCTGCCCAATGGAGAAGGAGCTCCTCTCTTGTAGGTCCTGGGCTTGGCTGGCTCTTGTCCACCTGTCAGTGACCCCCTGTCCTCTGCTTCCAGCCCCCGCCTCTCAGAATTACACGGTGGAGAACTGTGTCCGCACTGGGCTGGCCAGCGTGGTCTTGCTGAGCCTTGTGGCGATTCTGGCCAAGGCTGGGCACAGTCAGCGCAGGTGCCCTCAAGGACCACAGTGAGGGAGACAAGAGAGCTCCCGCCAGAAAGACTGCATCCCAGGACCCAGGAGACTCCCCCTTTAGGGCCAGAAGGCTCACACAGGAGTCCAGGGGACCCAGAGCCATCCCGCTGTGCCCAAAGAGAATGCTCACAGCGATGACACTGGTCTGAGGCTTCCAGTGGATGTGACCCTGGATCTACCCCTTTCCCTGCGTCTCCCCCCTCTCCAGGTCCTAAGACAGGCCCCAGGGCCCTCCACCCTCTGCTGCCCTCTTCCTTCTCCTCCTTCTCCTGCCCCGTGTCAGAGGCTCCAGGCTCGCAGCTCTGGCCATTTCCTCCGGGTCCACACCTGTCCCTGTGTGGCGGTCTCAGTGTCTGGGGTCTTCCTCCCGTGACATCCACACTGGGATTTTCCTGCTTCAGCTGCATTTCCCCCAAGGCCCTCCTGCTCCCTCTCACCCACGTTCCCACCCCGGGCAACACCAATAAACAGATGTGATTACTTGTTGGGCAGGAAGTGAGACCACACATTTGCTGTGTCTGCACACAGGGGCGAGTCTCAGCCCAGGGTGTGTGATTCCTTGAATGTTTTCTGAGGGCAGTGGCTCTGACCACAGACCCCGGGTTCCCTGCAGGACACTGGGGAATGTGGGCAGTGTGGTCACACCACCCCAAATCTGCAGGTTCACTCCCTGGGTTCTTCCCCAGGACAGAGCCCATGGTCTGAACCTTCTATTTCTTGGAGGTGCTGGGTGGCTGGGGCTCGGGAACATGGCGCCCTGGGCAGGTGGCGCTGAGACCCAGGATCATAACCCACAGGGGCCTTGGTGTCCGGAGGGGAAGGCGCACTCCCAGAGCCCGATGCTCTTCTCCACAAGCAGCAGTGACCACAGGGCTGGGTGACCCCCTGGGCTGAGCTCCAGGTCTGGGGAGAGCAGCAGGTCTGTGCTCTTGGAGGGGCTGAGCCCCATCCCATCCAGGAAGACACAACAGCCAGCATCTCAGACACCTCCTCTGTCTCCATCTGAGCTCACCTGGCTGAGCCAGGACAATGAGGACGTCGCTTCCCAATGACCCCAGCTCTGCCTGGGAGGCTGCCTGGTGCTGTGGCCCAGCAGCCCCTCCCTGGCCTGTGACCCTGAGAATCTCAGGTCTCTCCCTCCAGCTCCTGATTCTGTCCTGTCTCCTCCTCATGGGACTGGGTTCTCCCCTGAGGTCATCATGATATGACTCCTCATGTGAGGGGCAGAGGCTAGGAGTCCCCCTTCTCTCCACACAGTGCCTGTGATCTGTGCCTTAATGGACCCAGGGTCACTTATCAGCCTCCAGATGGAAATGAAGCCACCAGCCCAGACCCATCTGGTTCTTTGTTAACTTTACTTTCCCAGAAGCCACGCCCACCAACCTTTGGACAACGTGACTCATTCATTAGTTCATCTGCTTCTATAGCCTTAGGGGCTTTTAATTTAGGAACTACCAGAGCCAGCTTGGCGGCAGGTGTGTGCAGAGCGCAGCCCAGGGTCACAGGACACAGAGGGGCACAGAGACAGGGCCATCGTGACTGAGCAGGTGGCCACCTGCCCTGGAGAGCATGTGGGGGGCAGAGTGAGTGTCCTTCCAGTGTGACACTCTCCTCTCTGTGCCCCACCCCAGTAATAACACGAAGGTCTCAAGAGAGTTGTATGGTTCGCCTTCTGCATGTGGGAAACCAAAGCGTTTGTATAAGTGTGTTGCTGGGGACTGTCAGCCTGTGAGGACCAGAAGAGAAGCCAATAAGTTTCCCTGTTATGCTTTTATATATTTCTCTCTGTATCTAAGACTCTATCTATGTAACGATCTATGTATCTAAGTGTCTATTTATCTATGGAACTATCAGTACATTTAGCTAAGTGTCTATTTAACTGTATGTATCTATGTGTCTAAGTAGCTATGTATCTGTTTTATATGTTAGTATCTATCTAACTACATATCTATGTATCTGTCTGTGTAACAATGTAGGTATCTAAATATTTACATACCTCTGTAACTATCTCTGCATCTTTCCTAATGTCTGTTCAACTCTCTACGTATCTACTTGTCTAGGTATCTAAGTGTCTACATACCCATGTCTGTTAGTATGTATCTAAGTGTCCATGTAGCCATCTGTGTAACCATCAATCTATGTATCTATTTTTCTATCTGTGTATGTCACTGTATGTTACACACACATCCATCTACATATCTATGTATCTCACTTTATAATTTTCAGTTTAACTATGCAACTATATATATATATCAATGTATCTGAGTGCCTATGTATGTAACTACCTATCCAACTATCTTTCTGTTTATCTATCTCTTATCCATCTCTGAGTACATCTGATAAACTAATACTATCAGTGTTTCATCTGGATAAGGGTTTAGCCTGGTTATCCTGTAAAATATCTCACTAATACCTCACTTTTTGGAAATCAGAGACTCTCTGGACCCAAACGGGAAGCCAGAGTCGAGACTGGGAGCACCCACCTCCCTTCCTGGGAGACCATGGAAAGTGGCCCCTCTGACGTGGCCCCTGCACACTTCCTGACCTGCAGGGCCCTGTCCTCCTCCCCACAGGACACGGACAGAGCAGTCAGTGAAAGGCTGGCCACTTCCCCTCCTCCCACCACCTTCCTGGGCCCCAGTGAGTTGGGACGCAAAGGCAGGACCACAGGAACCAAAGGGTGGTCCAGGCCCCACCTCAGTCCAGCCTCTAGTCCGGGACCTGTTTGGCACTAAAGGGAGAGTCAGTCATACAGGCCCTGCCCACTCTGGGCCATCTGTGCCTGAGCCTCCAGGGGAGGGACTGGGTCCCCTAACCTGTTCTGACCCTGGGAAGGGACAGGTCCCATAGAGAAAGGCCATGGAATGTCTGGGTGGGAGGTGCCCGGGAACCTGTCTGGACAGAAGCTGCCTACTGAGAATCATGCCAATGAGGGTGCTTTGGAGAATATGGTGACAATGAAGTCTTTCCCTGCAGCACACTGACCTTGACCTCCATTTAAAGAAATAAAACAGTGGGCATTTTTTCTCCCTGGGGCTTCCCTTGCAGTGCTCTCTCTGGGTCATGTGATCCAGTCACAGGAGAGCGAGTCATTTCTACACAATCCCCAATCCCTTCCACGCCAAGGGCATCTCTGACAGGAGTCCTGTGGGTTCTGGGAGGGACCGAACCCCAGTTACACCCGATGAATGTCCTTCTTAAGTTTCTCCGGGTGCCTGCAAACACCCCCCGGGGACGTCTACACTTCTCAGAGAGCCACAAAATACAAAACCGGACCCCTGGTTCTTGCCCACTCACACCTGACTTCTCTCTCACCACTGCAGGAGAGAGAAACACTGTCTTCACTGATTCCCCTTATCTCACCCTGGTCTCACCACCCCTCAGATTTCACTTCCTGCGTCCTTCAATGCGCCCACACCCGCGCTGAGGGCCATCCTTCCAACCTCAGCTCTCCCCACCACAGCAGCCCTCGGGGGCCTCAGGGGCTTATCCCAGCCACATCCACCCTCTTCTCTGCAAGTGCACTTAGCAAAAAACAAGTCCGATGACTTTGCTGTTCACCAGAAACCCTCCGCTGGTTGAGTTGAGGTCGTATCAGATCGCTTATCAATGTTATTTCCTCTGCTGGTGTCTAGCCACTTCCTGCCCTGCTCTGTCTCACTCCCTCATTGCTAGACATGCTGGGGTGTTTTTTTTTTTTGTTCAGTTTTTTTTTTCAGTCTCTCAAACGAGCTGCACCCACGCTGCACTCAGTGCTGTCTCACACACTGGCTTCACCTCCTCCAGCCCCCCGGCCCCCCTGATCTGCTCAGCTGAGCAGCTCCCTATGTGTTCATGGCATCTCTGCTCAGAGTTCTGTGGCCCAGATGGGGAAGGGTCTCTGTTGGGAATCGCTCTGCCTGGTTTCAGGAATTGTAACTACCCCCCCGTGGCTAAGGATGAATGAGTGACGTCCGGAATGCGAGCCACAGTGGGGACAAGAGCTTGTCTCTGGTAGCGAACACTGCCTCAGTTTACTCCCCCTGCCCCCAAAGCATGGTTAACGTCGATGAGGGGTAAGTCTCCTCACAGGGAGGGGCAACCTAAGCCAGACATGATCACTTGGGAGGGCATCATGGAAGGACTCGGGGGGCTGCGACAAAGAGGGAGCAATGGACCCTGCCCCCCGCCCCCGCTATGTGACATAACCTGAGTCCCCTTGTCCTCTGGGAGAAGTGCTTCCTGTGCTCTAATCCCCTTAAGCCTGAAAACCTCATGGGGAGAGGTGCAGCTCCTTGCCTTGCTAGAGCGGTATCTGGGGAGAAATCTGGCATAAGAAAGAATTCCAAAAAATCCTGTGAAACCTGCTTTGCTAAGTGTTTTCATTCATATGTTAAGGGTCCAAGCAGGAAATGAGTATGTCTCCCTCAAGTTTCTGCAAAACCCCCTTCCTGACAGACACTGATTCAGACAAAGCCCGCAGATTTCTTTGAAATGTCATCTACTGTTTGATCCTTGCCTCCCTGTATTCCTGTGTATTACAACCCAATAAAAGCCCCTGGAGGAAGGGGCTCCTGGCCTTTTTTTCCTGAGAAACTGGCCACCTCTCCACCCCGAGCAGATCAGGCCTTGGTAGTGTTTACTTTCATCCGTGGCGGACGGGGGGACTTGAGGGCAAAGTCGCCCCCACAGGCCTCCTTGATACGTTCTCTCCTTATGCCTCTGGGTAGTCACCACAGGTCTGCCAGGCCTCAGCTTCTTTCTCCTCACTGCAGTTTAACATCCAGCATCCTTGCATATAACAGAGAGCATCTTAGAAGCTGATTTCTCTCTCACACACAGAGATGCGGTTTTTTTTTTGTGGAGTTTAATGAGTGAGAGCACTGTCACCAGGGATGCAGGCTCCCTCATTATGCTCCACAACTTTAGTTTCTGGTCACCAGCACTAAGTTTGCCTCTTGAATCCATATGGCTGCTGGGGCTCCGG